GGCCTCATGTCCGTTCCCAGCGGCCCACGATAACGGCGTCCTGCCCTTATCAGCTCTCACATCGACGTCGACCTTGCCTATATTGAGGAGAAGCTTGACCACGGCCTCATGTCCGTTCCCAGCGGCCCACGATAACGGCGTCCTGCCCTTATCAGCTCTCACATCGACGTCGACCTTGCCTGTATTAAGAAGAAGCTTGACCACGTCCTCATATCCGTCCCTAGCGGCTAACAATAGCGGCGTCCAGCCCTCCTCGTCTCTCTCATCGATGTCAACCTTGCCTGTATTAAGAAGAAGCTTGACTATGTCCTCATATCCGTTCAAGGTGGCTAAAAATAGCGGCGTCAAGCCCTCCTCGGATCTCGCATCGATTTCAACCTTGCCTGTATTAAGAAGAAGCTTGACCACGTCCTCATGTCCCTTCAAGGCGGCTAACAGTAGCGGCGTCCAGCCCTCCTCTTCGTCTCTCGCATCGATATCAACCTTGCCTGTATTAAGAAGAAGCTTGACCACGTCCTCATATCCGTGCCCAGCGGCACACAATAGCGGCGTCCAGCCCTCCTTGTCTCTTGCATCGACGTCGACCTTGCCTGTATTGAGGAGAAGCTTGACCACGGCCTCGTGTCCGGAATTGGCGGCCAACAATAGCGGTGTCCTGCCCTTATTATCTCTCGTATTAATATCGACCTTGTCTATATTAAGGAGAAACTTGACCACGTCCTCGTATCCGTTCTCAGTAGCCCATGATAGCGGTGTCCTGCCCTTATTATCTCTCGTATCGACATTAGCCTTGCCTGTATTAAGAAGCTTGACCACGGCCTCGTGTCCGTTATCAGCGGCCCACGATAGCGGCGTCCGGCCATCCGTGTCTCTCACATCAACATCGATATTGCCTGTATTAAGGAGAAGCTTAACCACGGCCTCATATCCGTTCCTAGCGGCCCACGATAGCGGCGTCCTGCCTTGATTGTCTCTCGCATTGACGTTGACCTTCCCTATGTTAAGGAGAAGCTTAACCACGGCCTCGTGTCCGTTATCAGCGGCCCACGATAGCGGCGTCCTGCCTTTGTTGTCTCTCCCATCGACATCGACCTTGCCCGCGGCGAGGAGCAGACATGATAGCACCTTCGTCAAGCCGTGTCTCGCTACGACGTGTACAACATTACTTCCGCTTGCTGGGCAATCATCATCGGAAGGCTCCAATGTCTCGTATATCTGTACCCATGATTCAACGAGGGGCTCTATCGACCACACAAGCAGATCCAGAAGATCGTTCGGAGATATTTCGGCTGCCTCGCCCAACTTCACGTGAGACACCCATGATGTTGTTGCATAGTGAAGCAAGGGAAATCTTGACTGGTCCTTCCGTCTGAAGGGTCCTGAGTGAGAAAGTACAGCCATTTTGAGATAGCGGATGCATGAACGGGAGAGGCTGCAATGTGCAGCGGGACCGAACAACTCGGGCGGTCCAGTCTGATATAGAAGTGACAAACCCCGCTCGACGAAGTAATCCTTGACTGACTGGTGGATGAACTGAACGACGGGGGCATTCGTGGATGGTACGATCTCTGCGAGACCGCAGCTCAGGGTCTTGATCCTTCTGTCAACATTTTCGTCGGCGATGAAGTCCTCCGAGTTTTGGCATTCTTCCAGCGACTTGTGTGTGCGATCAGGCTGAACTGCCATGGCCCATTGCAGCTCGTCCGTTGTCAGAGGTCGTATGGAGAAACAGATCCATTGCATGAGTCTCAAGGCGTCCGAGTGATTCTCCACGCTCTGAATGAGCCCGTGGTACAGGTCGTCCAAAGTTTTGGGGGTCCGCCAGATTTCGGTCTTAATCTTGAATTGCGATTCCCCCTGGCGCTTCAACTGCAGGACGCGCTCCACGACAAGATGTGCCCACATGAAAACACCTTGGGCGCGTTTGGATATTATGCTCTGAATTTCGGCATCTATATAGCCCCCAGACAAGCGGGTTTGGATGTAGGTGGTGATATCCGACTTGTTTTCGGTGTCGAGCAATATCGTGGATCCGCTGTTGAGCTCCACGATGGGGTAGTGGCGACAAGAGAAGAAGATGCCGAATCGAGAATTCGTTGGCGGAAGATCTTGAAGGAGATCTTTTAGGTATCCAATCAACTCGACAGCGGGTTGTTCGCCGCATTCATCGAGCGCGTCGATGAAGACTACGACTGGAAAACTTTTGAGGATCGTCGCAAGCGAAGACGCAAGAAAAGCCTGCAATTGTTGAAGATGCCACTGCCACTTCTCTCCAGGCTCGCCCACCGATTTCCGCTTGGCTTCAAACTCATCGATCAAGTCGCGGAGAGCGCCGGGAACACGGCTGAGGAGCTGGTGCAGGATGGATCGAAAGAGACCGAGCGGAGTTCTCTGCAGTTCATGGCCGCGACCGTGGAAAAAGAAGGAAAATGCCAGCGTGCCGGCTCCATAATGAGTAGGGACTTCACGAAGGGCGAACTTCAGTAGGGTTGACTTCCCCGATCCGGGCTTCCCTTTGATCCAGAGCAGCCCCCGATACTGACGAGTCCATTGCATCAGGGTTTCGTGGCTAAGAAGCCATTTGCATGTGTCCTTAGCAGCGGCGTCGATCTTATATTGCCGGCCGTCCATGTCATGAAAGGCTAGTGATCTCAGACAAGCTTGCGTTGTCTCTGGCTGGGGTTGGGATAGATCTAGGCTAGGAATTGAGTACATGCTCGTAACAGGGCTCAGACACACATACTATGCTCAGCGACTCGTGTAGGAAACTTATGTTTCGCTTCATCGACCAGTCTCCTTAGTCGTTCTCTGACGACGGTGTAGTCACCCTGGCTCCTGGAACTATACTTAACAAGCCCGGAATGATCCCTGTTGAGGGGGATGTTGTCCTCGTCGGCTACGGCCACCAAGCCTGTATTGGTAGCCGATTTTTCTGTCACCAGCAAAGCTACGGGGCCAGATCTACGCCATTTTCCATCTTGATCAACCTGCGGAACGAGTCAACGGTTGCTCGAGTTTCTGAGATGGTAGATCTACCTCTAATGTTGGGCTGAGTACGCGCTCAAAGAATGTCACCACTCGGTATTGACCCTTGCAGGTCTCCGAGAACTGGTCCGCAAGTCTCTTCATGAAGGTCGACGGTTCCGAGTCTTTATCGACGAGAAGATCGTGAATCAAGGCTTCGTTCGGCTGACCCCGGACGAGGGTCCTCAGCTGGTCGTTTCGTAGGCCGAGGTTTGGGACGCCGAAGAAAAGAATTCCGCAAGAGGCATTGGATAGGATAGAGTTTGCATCGCTGCATCTTCTGCGCGCACGAACAAGCGCCTGCAGCAGTCAGTTAAATGCGGCATCATGACGGCGGGGGAAACCGGCACCTCTTTGATCAGTAGGCCGCCGAGACTGTGGCCGATGAAGATGATCGGGCGGTGAGAGGTCTTCAGGCGTTAGTTTGAGTCAGACAGCATGGTGAACCACGTACCCCATCTCTCGCGCGATAGGCATTAATTTGTTCTAGCAAGGCACCACCCAAGTCCTCGATGGACTGTTTCGAGAGGCTGCCTGGCAGCGTGGTATCATAGCCGTAGAGCAGCACCCGGATATTGGGCACGTCCTTGGGCAGGAAGTCGCGTAGCCAGACGTCGTCGCTGTTTGGGGATTTCCAGGAGCCTAGTGCGTGGCCTCCAAGGCCGGGTACTGCGATGATGCTGGAGGAGTCAGCACGGGAATGACAGCATGGGAATGAAAGATCGGAGCCAAGCTTACTCAACATCTACACAGTTCTTGTCCTCGTGGAGCGGTGTGATTCCCTCGAATTTGCAGGTGAAGCTGTAAGGGTGACCGTTTCCAGCTCGGCCCAGCTGACCTGACAGGTCGTCTGCGGAGAGCGATGTGATGATCGAGATAGTAGCACAAAAAGAGTCGTTGCCATGCCGCACCAAAGAACGGACCACTTTACCGGCGGCCCCCCAAAGGTCCGGAACCCCCTTGAAAATAGACTCCAGGTCGTGGTCCAGGTTGTCGATATGATCGGCAGGGATGTCGTCGATGCGCAGACTTAGGCTCTTTTTGTTCTTCAGCAGCTTCGACGGTTGTCCAGAGGGCCTGCGGATGAGAATCGTCGTCACCATGACGACGATGGCGGTCATTGCGACCGCCACGAACAATTCAGGCACAGTGGCCATCTCATTCTAGGTATTGGGCAGATTCCGATTCGTGAAGTAGACGGTGCACTCGAGTGTTGCTCAGGCTCCAATGGGCAGCAGAGGCGTGAGATGCGACGTGGACCTATGTCGTGAGGGGTCGTCACCTGCGCGTTTCGCCCTGCAGCTGGCCACGTGACATGAAACACAGTTCTGCCTGGTCCCAGCCTCACCACCAGACGAGGTCTTATTTCTAGCGACACTGAGTTTTACTTCCTCACCATTACGATGAGGCTAAATGTCCCGATACCACTGTTCACTCTAGCGCATTAGCTATCGGGGGGGCCAGAAGAGCCGGCCCGTTGCCGGGACACCCCTGCATTCTTCCGAAAACCCGAAGCACAGTATGGGACTTACTGGCCAGAGAAATTCTGCTCGGGCGACCTGGACTGAGTTGGACCATTAAGCCCTTTCGGAAACCAAACAGCCAGGAAAAGAGGGAGTAAAGTTGCAATCCGTCTACCCCCTTGATGCGATATATGGTAGATGCTGGGACGCTTGCTCAGGAGGCCGGCAAACGATGGATACTGCGATGAAACCGCAATGGGGCTCAGGATTCGTCATCATATGAAAATTGCTGATGGCGAAGGAAACTCAAACGACTCGAGTACACATAAAGTAGGAAGGGCACAATATGAGTACCGCAATGCCCCGGCATCGGCCGCGCCGAGCCTGTCCCTTCCTAGGAAGTTTGGAGGGGCTTCACCAAGATGGGGTCAAAACAGCCTGCGCTCCTTGTAGGGAACCCTCTTCCTTACAACTACTCGACCTCACTTTCACACGTAATAGTAGTAGACTAATAGTAATACGTAAGGAAATAAAAATTAGCGCTCTTCTTCTTCCTCTGCCTCTAGTATCTTCAGGTCTCTAAGGGCCTGGATCACTGTGCTAGTCACGGTGGAAGTAATGAGTGCCGTTTGTTTCTCCATGGCATGCTCAAATGCAAACTCCAACATCTTGCTAAAGTCCTCTCTCTCCTGCTGCTGTGGGCTCGCCATGTCCTGTAGCCCGTCTTGTTTCGCAAGCTGGCTCTCGGTATAAATAGTCTCGAAGGGTGCCTTGGCTTTTCGTTTCCTCTTTGGTAGCGGATATTGCAGTTGGGGTGCATTTTTCCTGCTTTGCATGTTTGCTTCTCGCTCTTGGTCCCGGCCCCAGGGTGGTATCTCTTCGCGCTCTATATAGAAATTCTCACAAAGCTTGTCAGCTTGATGTTTATCCCCGACCCATATCCTAAAATCTGTTCGGGGCATGATCTTAGCCTTGGTCTCATCTAAAACTTGAGACCAGATATCGCCAGTGTGTCCATTAGCCATAAGTTCATCGAATTTGCTCTTTTGTTGCTGAGAGGCGCCCCAAATCCAGGTATTTTTGCGCTGGTAGTCATACACAATTCCTACTATGTGGCTAAAGGCCTCATGAAACGTTCTATATCTTTTGCTGAGATCATTAGCACGTCCGCTGACTGGGTACCTGTCCATGTCCTCTGCTCGGAATTGCCAAGGGCTCGCAATCGCCAGTGGGTTTTCACCATCAATCTTGACGAAAATCCGTTTATTACTTATTCCAGCCTCAGGAATATGACCCAGAATCTGTTCCTCGGTATGAAACTGAAACATCTGATTTTCAGTCTTTGTTGATATGGGATTCGCCCTGTCGTCTGGTGCCTTATCCTCGCCTGTATCGCCCTGTTCACTTGTCTCTAAAGCACCAGGACTCTCCGCAGCTTCAAGCTGAGGCAGCTTCTTCAGAACAGGTGCTTGTATATAATTGAACCAATTATCAGGCCATTGGTGATTCCTTTTTTGTGCAACTTCGAGATAGGAAGTATGAAGCATTTCAAGAAGCTCCCTTTTCTTCTCGATTGGATAAAATGACTTCTTTGATAATATATGCTCTCGCACAAAGTTGAGCCCTCTCAGCTCTTCGAGGTCCACCTGGTAGTCGTTGGGCTCGTTGCCCGATTTCTCATTCTCCTCCTTGATTTGTTGATTGATCTTTTCAATGTACTTGGAGGCTTTCTCTCGATTCTTATCTTGGTTCTCTTTGAGTTGAAAATATGCCTGGACCCCCCGTGCTGCTTCAGCGTGGAGGGTTCTTATACTTTCGGAACGAGGTGGGACTTCTCGCATCACCTCATCCTCACTTTCCTCTCCGCTAGCATTACTCGCAAAGTCTTCATCGTTTGCCATTATAACGTCTTCAACTGGCCCAAGCGTCTCTGTGTACGCCTTTCGTTTCACCGGATCGCTCAAAGTTTCAAAAGCCTCGTTGAGAGCTTTTTATGTTAGCTAAATAACAACTTAAAGGGTTGGGGGCTTACCCTGTGTGCATCTTGCGGCGTCTTCGTCACCATTGTTTTTATCGGGATGGACCTTTACAACCAGCTGTCGACGAGACCGTTTTATATCATCGAGGCTAGCTCCACGGTCCACACGCAGCAGTTTGTAGTGGTTAGCATTTTGGTTTACCAGTGAGAGAGTTGTAATAAAATCATGCTGCGCTCGTTTCTGCCTTGCTAGAGCTAGTGATGCATATTTTAAACGCTCCAGCAATGACTCGCCATGGTCGTATAAAGTATCATGCATGTCCTTCAGTTTGGTTTTGTCAGCAATACCAGTTATTTTCGAGTACTCTTCCAGACATTCTTCAACAAATTTTTCAAAATACGCCTCATCGTTCCAAACTGTTTCGAAGTAATCCCAAATCGCATTACCCGTCTTATATTTGGATGTTATACTTTCAAGTTCCCTTCCTTCCGCTTTAGCGTAGGATAATTTAAAATCGGCATCCTTATTCCGTAAAAACAGGAGCTCGATATTTTCATGGGTCGATTGATCTGGGGCAGGCAAGGCAGCCATCTTTTTGGGTGGAGGGGAAGTGGGAGCTGCGTTGGCGGCGATCTTTTTGCTGTGGCTAGCCAGTTCTTGCGCTACAGGGGTAGCAATAATCTCCTCAGTGTCTTCGTCGTCAAGTGAGAGGTCAGTCCTTGACTGAGAAATTGGCGGTGACGGCTCGATCAGAACGGATGCTCCCATTGCAATTTGCGTTCAGTAACCATAGCAAAGAGTGGCCGTGGTGCTTTAATAGCCTTGCAGATGAGCTGCAATTAGCCTTTTGGGGTCTACCTCTGACGTCTACTGATCCATGTCAGTCGGTCCCAAAACGGACCCCTGCCACCTGTTTTCAGCCCTACTGGGACCATTTTCATTCAAACTGGGCTGAAAGTGGATTCTCATGGGTTATAAGTCACCCATCCTCAGACGCGGCTTACTCCAGGGACACACGCGAACGAGCAATCATCAAGATGAATACAGTACGTATCAAGGCCCGAGTGTATATACCTTAATGAGCCAATCTAACCTTGTCAGACTCTTGACTTGCACGAATTAGCTCCTGTCGATCATGAGTATTCATTGGATACAACAGATAGGCTCCGCTGTGAAGCTTGGGCTGCGTATTCAGAGTGCCTAAAGCAGCTTGACTGCTTGTGGACTAAGCAAAGTGAGCATTCCAGCATTATCACAGTAGGGCTTAGTGCCTTGCAGACGGAGAAAAATAAGTTGCAAGATCAACTCAATCAACTTCGTGGTGAAAACATGGACCTTAGACATGATATCAGCCAATTCCGCGAAGATAAACTGCAGCTACAGAATGATGTCAATCAACTTGACTACGAGAAATCAGACCTAAAGAACGGCGTGTGCCATCTTAGTGGCGAGAATCGGAAACTACAAGATACAATCCTCCAACTACGTCAAGACAATCGAGAGCTGCAAGAGGAGAAGCAAAACCTCTTCGAGAAAAAGGAACGGGTCGAGTTTGAGAAGGACTATGGAGAGATGATGCTCGACCAATACCGCGCTGAGGTTTTGGAACAAAAGGCTCTAACTGGAGACAGACAAAAAGCAATCCAGGACCTACAAGAAAGATTGGACAATGTAAAGGCTGAGTTAGCACAGTGGGAAGACCACACTCTTTCCTATGAGCAGATTATCACGAGCCGTGATGATGAGATAGCTCGCCTCCAGAATCAGCTAGCAGTGAAGCACGGGGATCTTACGAATCAGTCAACGGACGCGGAGGCTCTCGCTACCGTTAGGTCAAAGGCACCTGGGAAACGGCGACGGAAAAATCAGAGAAGAAGATCCCGGAGACAGAGACGCCTACGCCAGCTCCTCCAGAATAGTAGGCAGGGTTTAATCTTTTGCGTGTCCGTCATTTAGGCTACAGGGGGGGGGTGAAATGCAGGCTTGTGATAAAAATACATCTCTGTAAAGTCCATACCCCGCTATCACTAGACATCTATTTGAGTCAAAATACACGCCCATGACTTACGCATACCGGTCCAAATTGTAAATATTCTCAATACATCCACCCTAGTGTCTGATTCCCTGATGAGAATTCGGGTAACAGGGGCGACGGGTTGAGGAGGTGTGACTAGTAGACCTTCCCAGCTAACCTATTAATAGTTACTAATAGAGAAGCCATCTGTAATCACAAAATAAATGTCGAAGAAGTGCAGGATTGGTATACCTTCGATGGCGTTTTCAACCTCAACCGCTGCTTGGATATGGCAGAAGCCACATCCCTTTACCCTACATCATGCTAGGTAAGCGGCTGGTGAACTATCATAGTGGTTTTTTTATCCTCGTTGATTGAGGCGTCCGAGTTTTCCGTCATTGTTTATTCTATTTTCTTTGGGAAAAAAAATTAAATATAAAGAATCTCAGCATTCCAAATTTGAAAAGAATTATGTGTGTTTCTGGGCGTTTGGCAACCGAAAACCATGTTGTATGGACGCCCTCCAACAAAATGTCACGTCATTGTCGATCCGCTATTTTTAGCTAAAAAACTTAATCTAAGAACTAAAAATAATTGAGCAAGATCTAAAAATAAAATGAAATGGAGCAGCCACCCCCTCAACTACGTCATGAAAACATAGAAGAAAAATCAACCCTTGCTAATTGAGACTGCCCTCGCTCGGTACCCCGCCTTCCTTCATATTTTCGTCGTCAAATTCATCAAGAAAATGCCTTGACGAAACCAAGACATACGGTATGACCCATAGCAGGTCTTGATGGCGCCTATTCTCGAGGAAGGAATGGGCTTGAAGTTTATCTAAACTGGGCAAGGACGTTGTAAAGGTGAAGAAGTTGAAGGCTTCTGCTGACCAATGATCCAGATTGGTGAGCCCAATAGGCCCGCTGCGAGGTCTTGTCTTATCCATCAGATTCATCACGATTCTACTGAACGATTCTGAAAACTGGGACAAACTGCCATCGTGCTTGCAATGCTCAATATTGCCGATCTTGACCTCGCCCTTGAAAGTTACCATGATAGAGCTGCATGACATGTCCTCAAGAATGAGCCTCTGCTCAAGCAAGTATTTGGCCCCCGAAACAATCTACCTCTGCGGTTAGCTTTGTTTGCATGGATGCTGGGCGTGACTGACCTGGTGCAATATTGAGCCGAGTGCTCGCTCTGAGGGGTACTGTGGGCATCGGCAAAGTTGCAATAATGAAGTTGCCATAAATTCTGAAATAAGAAAGTACCCGTCAGTAGAGTTATACAACTCTATATTTCGTACAATATTGGGATGAGTAAGCCGGCAAATATTGTCTACTTGTTGATCAATATTGGGGCCTGTGATGGTTCGAATCATGAAGGGTTCATCCGTTATCCTCGCAGTAATGACCCCTAAGGGGTACCAGTGCTTGATGATGTATTTCTTTTTGTAATGCTTCCATGGGGAGCCAGAAATTTCAGGAACAAGTCTCTCATCCCCCGTTGTATTCGTGATTACAATTCGGGGTTTGGAGACAGGAGATGACTGTTCTTTTTTGATAAATGGCTCCTGTTTGATATGCTCCGACTTCGTTGGCTTCACTGCTGAACGCTTTGTAGTTTGGGAGCTGCGAAAAATGGTAGAGGGAGGTGGGGGAGAAGGCCCAACCAGCTGGTCCTTCTCGATGAAGACCGTATGGCGGCTAGAAGCTTCCATTCTGATTTACTTGGTGTGATGTCAAAAGGACAGGCACAATGTTGAGAAATGTGACTATTTATGAAACTGAAGTATGCATGGGGGGGGGGCCCGTTTTCAAACCAACGGGGACCAAAATCGGCCCTCAGGGCCCTGAAATCGGCCCCAAGCGAACTTGGTGGGTATATAGGGAGAGTCGAAGCCACAAGACTGTTCAGGTAAACATCACAAAAATGTTCACTTATCATTTACTCCTATTACTTCCTTTCATCACCGGATTTTGCTCTAGCTACGAAATTAATCAGCCAATAAAATTGAGGTTAGAAGCTGGGTCTGTGACTGGAGTTGGTACTATCGAACTGGCAGCACTTGGGCTTGTCTCTTCGACAAGTACAGCTCCCGTCACAGAAACCCAGACGACTATCGAAGATCATACAACAACCAAAATAACAACGGCGCCACTGGGAGACTCAACCTCCTCATCCAGAGAGCACACAGACAGCAAAACCCATAGCCCCAATGAAACCACGTCAACCTCGGCACTGGGAGATTCGACGTCACTCCAAGAACGCACGGAGTCTAGTAAGACGCACGGCTCCGATGAAGCTACGAAAACCTCGGCACCGGGAGCCTCCTCGTCTTCACCGGGTCACACCTCTGGTGTACATACACCCAGTGCGCCAGATTGCACAACATCCACTGGGCGAGATTATACAACGTCAGTGACAAAGACTCCGGAGCCCATCCCGACCACCATTACACACTTTAAGACGGTGACGATTCTCTGGCCCTTTTTCCCCTTGAATGCCACATTTCCGAGGAACGCGACCAATTCAACCACCTCGATGCATGTTACAACATCCGTCAAGCACCCAACGCCTACACCTCCAGAAACAGTGATACTGACCGAGTCTCGGAGCGCATCCATGCCAAGTTCTATGGCAACAAAGGACATGGCGCAAAGCAAAGCGTATTCTCGCCCCCCTCCGTTGCTACCAATCATCTTCATGGCTCTTTTCTTATGAGCTGAGTCGTTTACATGTCTCTGTATATAACAGCCGCTCCCTCTAAATTCGTTGTTCTTTCCCTCGTTGCCTACGATTTTCTGGTATTCAATCATCTGGCATCCTCTTGCCCAAGTCGGTCGTTACTATTACGTTCTTATGCTGAAATTCCTGGCTTTCTTTCTTTATATTCGCTCTTTATAGTTTTCTTTTTATTATCTCTGATTCATCAGCTTCAGAAGTCGATCGCTACCCACCATTCCTTTCTCATTTCTTTTGTATTATTTCTGATCTTGATGAAACAACATCAATTCTTATCATTCACTCACTCACTTCCGGCTTTCTATCTATCATATCTGATTTTCCCTTGCAGCATCGCTTATTACGATTGAATCATGATCATTTCAGATGCCGATCGCTACCTCTCACTCCTTTCTACTTTCTTTTATATTATTTCTTATTTTGATGTAATAGCATCGATTCTTATCCTTCACTCACTCACGTCTACTCTCATATATATCATGTCTGATTTTACTTGCAGTATGGGTCGTTGTCATCGATTTTCTGATCATTGTGGACTCTGAAATATACCACTATCATTTCCCCTCATGTACGCTAGTCTGTTCATCTTCTACCATCGAAAATCACACTCCTTTCTGTTTCGCCCTTCGGTCACGTTCTATGGCCACCTATCACCTCTACCTTCTCTCTCAAATAGTTATAGCTTAGAAAAACGAATCCGTCTTACTCATCCTGTATCCAATATGTTGAATGTTCAATAATGCCACCTAGGTGCTGTCTTGCTTCGAGTTCAACGCCACCTGGCTGTCACCTCGCCCCAAAATTCCCATTTCCAGATGACTGCCACTATGATAGTTAGCTAAATTTATTATTTATCATGTATTAGAGCTCACATACTCCCTAGAAGGATGTCTGGAGACCTCCATTGGAGACCTTTGAGCAGATTTCGATTTGGATATATCCTGAGGCGCCTGAGCATTATAGTTCCTAGAAACAGAATGAAGTTCACCCACCCTTTGTATCAGGGTTCTCCGCACAAACAATGAGACGCAAAGGAGGTTTTGTAGTGCAAAGTGTATGTCATGATGGCCGAGTATCGCAGTTGAGATCGCGGCGGTCGACGCTAAGACAAGAAGCCCTAAGAAGAGTCCCAGCAATCGCAATTTTGTTTTGACTCCTTTATCTTTCGTGTTTTGGAAATACAACCCGGCGCAACAATACATAAAACCAGTGAGATGGGCGAGGAGTGGTAGAGCCCAAAAAATCTCCAAGTGTCTCTCGAACAGCTCACAAGCGGCCACTCCGATGAAAACCCCAAACGTGCCTGAGATCAAAATTAGGAGGATTGGGGCTGTGTCATTGAAACGAAAGACTGCCCAAAGTGGATACCAGGAATCCAGAGTCTGGAATGGTCAGGACAAATCAGACTGGAATATTAAGTGCTTTACTTACAACCGCGGCGGTGGAACAAATCGTCATGCTCATATTCGACACATATAAATGAGTCAGGGAAAATGAATGGGTTTTGAAGAAGAAGACTAGTAGTACTGCCATGGAGATGCAAGATAGAAGATACACTCCCCACACGAGAGCCAGTGGCCATAGAGGTGGTACATTTGGCCTCGAAGAACGCATCGGACGCCCATAACATAGCCACTGTATGAGGCCGCAGGCAAGCAAAATAACGGCAATGATAAAGGAGATGATAGCTTCAAGAACTGGTCTTGCTACTAGAGTCTTCATCTTGGTTTCGGTACAGAACGTAGGGATATGAGAACGGAATGGGTTCAGAGCGCTGCTACTTATAGCCGACCAACCCGAGCTCAATCTGGTAGAAGCCATGAGATTCGGGCCGTGCATAGAATGTCTTTCCGTCTAGTCCTTGGCGGAATTCTTCTCATGTCCCCGGTGGTCCCTTGATCAGAATGTGTGCTCCAGTCGCTCTCCGTTGTTGGCCTCTGACCCCTGGGAGACCGCATGAGTGATCCATCCAAAGATTCCGCGAAGCCCTGGGCGGAATTCGACTCGTGGACCCGGTGGTCCCTTGACCAGCTTATGTGCCCCAGTCACTCTTCGTTGTTGGCCTCTGACCCCTGGGAGACTGCATGAGTGATCCATCCAAAGATTCCGCGAAGCCCTTGGCGGACTTATTAGTACCCAAATTCCCCACGGTCAACCCCTCCTCTCTTCTCTCCTTTTCACATCAGAATCATCCCTACAGTTCCAAGTCTCCTACGTCATCCCTCTTACTATCCCAGTACCGTTCGTGTTCTACCATGGATTGCTTGTGTTTGGAACGTCTCTTTCGTTTTGATCACGCCAAGTTGGAACGTGTCGGAGCCGAATGGAATGTGTCCATCCGACGTACTCCGGTCACAACTGAAATGTTTTGCTGGAAGGATGCTGCGCCAGGAAATGGCGCACCAGTTCTGCACGTCAAGCATTCAATCGTGACTTGCTGCCATGCTGCGTCCGAAGAAGGCACTGCCGGCGACAGCATATTCAGTATTCCTGTCGAGCTTGAACGGTCAGTACTAATTAACTCTACACATGATTTCTCTACTGAAGAATCGAAGCACTGTCACAATTTCTCCGATAATCCGATGTCTACATGATCTAGACAATGACAACAACGCCCTAATCAACGCGGGATCGCAACAAAAAACTAGCCGGAAAGGAGCCAAAAAACCACGGAAAAACCCTGTTCATGAAGGGAATGTGATTGCGCGAAAGATTGTGGCTGCGTTCCGCAAAAAGTTGCCAATTGCGTTCAACGTTGACCTCCTCAGCGATGCCTCCGAGTGGCCTTCGTATCTCTTGAGCTCACTTTCTGGGGTACTACATTCATTTCAACAGGGACATCTCACCTATGGGGATCTTCGCCAAAAGTTCATGGAGACGCTCGAAACAGTACACGGGCGTGTCGTCATCAAGTCCTTGATACGCCATCTCATTATTTGTTTGGGAATCTGCTTGAACGAGGACTTAGGCTCAGAGGGGAAAGCAGTGGAACACAAGCACCAGCTCGGTGCATTACTGAAGGAACAGGGGCTTAGCGACGAGACCTGTTTGGCAGCGCTCGGTGGCTTAAGTGGTAAGCACAGCCAAGCCATCATTTGAAGCCCTATCTAACCCTGGCAGCGACGGATTTTAAATTTAGGAATTTGAATAAATCGAGTGAGAAAACAGCAATATATGCCCTGCAGATGGCTGCTTCGGAGATGGCAAGTATTTTGAGGCCATATGAGAGCAGGCAGGCTCTGTGGGTTTTGAATCCTGGCCGCTTCCTATATTGGTTTTTCGGTGGAAGGTACCTATGAATTTGTTTACCCGTTATTCAGGAGACTAACGAATATAGACCGCCCGCGTTTCCTAGACCCAAACTGTGGTCGATGCAGTGGCCCAATCCTAAGATAGTTGGCATCCAGTATCAACTATACCCCGGAACCAAGACGACAACGGGACAACCCAATGCCGAGTCGGAAGAGATGGAGACTGACATTAGTGATGGGATGTCAAGGAAACCAAGTGTTATTGGAAAAGATCATGAACAACAATTTGTAATGGTGGATCATCGGGTTGGCATAGATTCAACGTTCTCATCTCAGCGCTTGGACACGGCTCATTCTGATTCTCTCGACCATCCAGAGTCAATTATGAGTGAGGGGGGGCTTTTTATGGGATTTTACATGGATGATGTATTCCCGGACGCTTGGAGATTCATCCAACCATTGTAGAATAACTATTTATGAAATACAAGCGATATATACTCAATGGGATCTGCAGGAAGAGGAGCAAATTCACGCGAGATATTCTTATCATTCTCATCCGCATCCACGACATAGAAAAATCCGATGCTCCAACTCAGTTGACATATCACCTCTTTCGAGTTCTTCTCGACCACCTTCAGAGGGTGCTCTGGTTCTGTCATTGGGATAATAAACTCAATTGCACCAGGTTTCGGTTTCAGCATCGGCCCTCTGGAATGACGAAGCACGCGTGCTTCACAAGTCATACCCTCCAGCGGCCCTGATGTATATTGCTTCCATGTAGTTGACTAATCTGCTTAGCGCTGCTATCATACAATTAGGTGGTTTGCTTACCACCTCAATCCGTGCCTGTTCCAATATGGGCTTGTAGCTTTCATAGTGTAGCTGGCATACCTCCACCCCATTCTGTCTCAAATCGCTAAGAACCTGGCTTGGAATTTTATCTCTCTCCTTGATTCGATCTCGAAGATTTGTTGTCATGGAGTAGGACCTCATCGTGCTGCTTGTTGTAATTGGATTTATTACTCAGAGGGTAGGAGAGGAGGAAGTCTGGGTTGTTGTTAGGGCGGTCTGAAGTTGCGAGCCATTGAGTGATAGCCGAAAAATAGCCGACCACAACATCACTCCGATCCACCTCTCTAGGTACCTAGCTACCGGTTTTCCGTTTCTTTTGACTGCTGCCCCTTACGTCCCCACCAGCATTTGTTCGTTTTTTTGATGGCTGAGGAGCATTGATCATCTTTCCACTCTGCCAGGCTGAAGCAAGAACATCCAGTGCTTCACTCCTTAGTTGCTTTGCACTTGCCCTATCGAGCCTCCCAGATGGGACAGGTAGACCCATCATCCGATAACGGGCATGCCTGATTACAATTGCACCACAGCTATGTGTGTCATCCTGTTGTAGCCCTGCCTATACATAGGTTAGCAGAGTCCACTGAGTCGGGCCAAACACGATGACATACCTGTTTCACGTACTCAAAAGCAGGGAACGCATTTTTACATGCTTCCTACAGAACTGTCAGCTTGGGCTATGAACTGAATGGATGGTATTACGAACCTCAACGTCGCTGACTTCATCACCTTGCGTCTCAGTATCAAATCCGACCGTTCCCACCTCGGAAAGAGAGTCATAGTGGTAGATGCAACCATCTCTTTCATTGACCTCAAGAAGGGTGAAATGATTCTGGTTCAGAAAGAGCGGGAAGAATGACACCAGTTTGGCCGAGCCTTCGGCTTCATTGTGCCATGCTGCGATCTTTTTTACCGCCATTTCGAAAGGACGGGGCATCCTTTTGTGAGAATTCCGTTGCTGGTGGATCGGAACAGAGAAACCAACCCGTACAAAGGGCAGTCTGTCGCAAAGGTGGAGGCAGGCCATGATAACACTGTCACTCAGCCAGGCTGTTGATTTGAGCGCTTCAATTGCCTCCTTGTCGACTCTAATCTTCTGGTCCTTGATGAAAAGAGTGTTGGCTGTAGCGCGATCCTTGAGGAACTCGGGCTTTATCGATAATCCCTCTCTGACTTGAACAGGTTGTGGCAGTTTTTTGCTTCTCAACCCCTTGAGGAAACTCTTTTCATCCATTTTCCCATTTTCCTGGAGCAGAGTCATTTGCTCTGTGAGTAATTGCAAAAGCGATATTCTCTCCGAACAGTTGGGCAATTCGTTTATCAACGTGTCCAAGGTATTCTTGGAAGCCTTGGCCAATTGCCTGGCGAAAGTTAGCTCATTCAGTATCAAAGACTTTCATATATCTTACTTACCAAGGATTCTCCAGGAATATCCCCAACCCGAATTTGTCCGTTAGCATGATCCATTTGCATCCTCGGTCCAGATCTGTAGAAATGTTCTTCCGTTGTCGGAGCCATTCTTCCTTCTGTCCGTCTTTCTTGGGTTCAGTACCAACGATCCTGTCAGTCACCTTACTTGACGCCTCTCGCTTGTTCATCTTGCTGTCGGCCCGAAGGATGCTGACCTGGGATGCATGCCATCGAGTGAATCCCATGACAATCAACGCATGGCGAAAAGTCCCTTGCCATTGTTCAGTGTGCCCTGCCTCGAGCAATGACCTCCACTCGGAACCATCTGACCAAGCGAGATTCTCCTCGTGCTTCGAATTAATCATGGAAAGGAGTGCGTCGTGTGTTTCAGTGGCTATACGTTGGTCTTGGGAGCAGAACGAACTAACCCGCTTCCAACTCGCATTGATAAGCTCCTGAACAGGCTTCTTAACCAGGCTCAGATCCAAAGTTTCCCATGTGGCTTGCTTTGCCTGCTTTGCTTGTCCTGGTAGCGGTTTCCTTTGGGGGGTTGTGGCACTGGTCGTTTCTGTGGTGTTGGCCTTCGTCTCTGATGCACTTTGGGGCTCCGTTTCTAAAAGGACTGGCTTCTCAGTACCTGAGGCCTTTCTCCCCTGACGCGCGACCGCCGTGCTGGTGTGAGAGACTACCTCTTGTATTTGTTCGGGTGGAGATTGCATTGACTCTTCCTCCTCAGTACCTGAGGGCTGAGTACAAGGCTGGCTAGGCCCGCAACCACTCCCTTCCTGAGATGCGACCGCCGTGCTGGTGTGGGAGACAACGTCGTCCTTTATTTGCTCAGGTGGAGATTGCATTGACTCTTCCTTCTCAGTACCTGAGGGCTGAGTACTGGGTTGACTGGACCCGCAGCCCGTTCCCTCCTGAGATGCGACCGCCGTGCTGGTATGGGAGGCAACGTCATCTTCCATTTGCTTAGGTGGAGATTGCATTGACTCTTTCTTCTCAGTACCCGAGGGCTGGGCGCTGAGGGGGGCAGACTTGCAAGCTTGTCTCTCCTGACACGCGACCGCCGGGGTGTTGTGAGGGGCCACGTCTTCTGTTCGCTGTACTGAAGAACTTGGCTCTTTCCTTTCCTCTTCCTGGATAATTTCATCGGGAGTCTCAGCAGGGCTGTGCATAGGTGGTGCTTGATGAGGGAGAGGTTGTTGAGGAGATGAGTCAGGGGATGGTTCCTCTTCTTTTTCCTCATCCATCCCCGCCTCCGTACTGTGGCTATCCTTCGACATCTGAGGGGATCCGGTAGAGAGAACCTCGCAATGGTGATGCAGGATGTCGGCAAACCATCGAATTCTTTGTTGCTCTTGGATTGACATCTTGCTCAACGCTGCTCTGAGATTATCATCGAGTGCATGCGATGCATGCGATGCCTCCGGTAGTTGGAGGATGGCGTTGATCATGCTATGTAAATTCAGAGGCAAGCGAAGGTGCTCCGCCAACATCTTTTCTGCGTGTGTAAATTCTTTCTGTGAAGAGGACAAGTCATCTGGCTCGGGTGTAAGGGCCTCCATCACAGGACGTCGAGGCGTCCTGCCCCGAAGCTTGCGCTTTTCGGTGGGGGGAGAGGGCTTCCAGCACGTCGTGGATTTAGAGGGGGACATGTTGCGGCGGGAGGGCTTCGGCTGAGAGAGTATCACTTGGAGATGATGTTGAATGGAATTATTTAGAGATGGAGGTGCTGTCGCCAGGAGGTCGGGGGCTGGCCTGATATTTATACCCTTCCCTCTGCACGCCAGTCATGTGAAGCGAGTCTGCCTCGCTGAACCCTCCTCTCTCTGCAAGCTGGCCATCCGTCATCGCCCATATTTGGTATACCGAGCATGGCTCTCATAGCCATCATTCCTAAGCTGGCCGTAGGCCACGCAATTCGGTCCGCCTTGCCCAGGACCACCAGTAAGAAGGTCTCGCGTATGGGGAATCAGGCTTGGCTTGCATCCTGACACTGAAGACTACCTTCGTTCACTTTCTCCGAGCTTCTACTGGAAGGTGTCTAAGCCTTGAGACTGCTTAACAAGGCTCGATGCCGATGGTTGCCACAGCTCTTACACCCAGTAGATATCATCCGAGATCGGTGATGGCTGATATTCGTTGTGCTGGCCACCGAGGCGAGTCCTGTCTTGGCATACCGAGCATATTCTTGGAAATAATAGTGACTGAATATGAGGTAAGTTGGGCTGTTTTAGAGTTGCTTTCTCCCTCGATTTACCGGTACGGATAAACGGAGCGGCATATGGGTGACTAGTTGTTGATAATAGAGAGAAACATCGGTCGAAGGTCATCTAGCATATTACTGTTGATGGATGTGAGCAGCGCCCTGCACGCGATGGACTGTAGCCTCTTCGGCCATAAACATAAGGGGCTACATAATTCGCTAGAATTTGAAATGACGGACGCCCTTGCACGGCCATTGTCTACCTTTGCATCAATGCCACAAGCCACAACGCCACAAGCCACCAGTGTTTCTGGGAAAAGATCTCCTTGACTTCCCAGGAAGTCCCGAAGCTGTTTCATATCTTTCCTCTTTAGGCTCACCGTCTTAAGCTTTGAGCCCTCTTATCTTCCCTAAGGAGTATTTTTATTGGATATGAATAATGTTTTATTGATCTGAATTGGTTGATAGAGGAGGAAGATCACATAAACTGCCATTTTCGAATTTCTAATATTTCTACCACTATCTTCTCTCATACTGGCACAGCTTACTCCCATTCAGGCAGCTGGGTTGAAAACATTTGCTTGACTTTATCCAACATCCACAACTAATAAAAAACAAGTGTACCTCTGTCACCGAGGCACCTCACTATTGTCTATTTGATCATAGAGGTACAGACCTCAATAGAAATAATGGGTTTAGGGGGCATTTATAGACCACACTACATTTGGGTCGTATAAATATCGAGCAACGTTGTCATCAGCGCCAAAACCGGGCCGAGTAAACCAAAGCTCTGGAAGTGTTAGCTTGGCTGTGAAACGTGGGTGAAAAGCTTACAGGAAAACTCGAGATATCAGCCAGACATAATTATCCTTCAAGAACCACCACACCCAGCAGACGGCCATTGCACCCAAAAAGCAACAAACGCTCGCGATGCAGAGAAGAGATGTATGGCGAACCGCATACCGGAGTAGCCGGCCAGGCTGCGTGTTGCCAAGAACACCAACTTGGCTCAACGAAGTAAATGTTCCTGGGAAAACGATAAACCCGGCAAGCATAATCCAATTAAAAAAGCCCGCGAGAGGGTTTTCAACGGTCAATGCCTCGTAGGAGTCCCGGATCATCTTGTATGGTGAGAGTATGCGCTGCCCCAATGAGCTCATTCGCTCATCCACGGATCCCTGCGGGAATTCAGTCTGGCGAGGCGAGCTTTGGTCTACTTTAGGAGACGACATTTCTTCTCATTTAGTGCGCAATGTGGTGCTGTTTAGGGAAGAGCATGAGTTCATAGGTATTATGCTCCCTTTATACCTTGGAAGGATGTGGTGGTCAATTCTGGCAAGCGAGTACCGTTTTTGCACCCCGGTCCGGCCCCTGCCTTAGTAGACACCATCAGTGGACACAAGGCCCTGATGCCGCCCTCTCATATTTCCACCAGTCTCTCACTCTTCTCGCTTGCCTATTTCCTCTATTTTCTTGTGTACTTTACAGCTCAAGATAACTTACTGTGACGACATAGTGATTTCACCGAAAATGAATTCTACAGATATCTTTGGTATCGTGGTTGGCGCTCTTGCAATAATCGGTCTTTCTCTCGCTATCATACGATCTCTACCAAGACGCTGGACACGCTTCTTTCGTTCACGGCTCTTTTCCATACGTTCATGGTTTTTGGCTTCATTTTATTATCCCGTGATGGCGCCAGTCCTTGGCTTTCGCCCGTTCAGGAAACGCTTTGATATCCTACTCTTTCTAATCATTCTCGCAGGAAACAGCTGCGCTGTCAGTGTTTGGGCACCGAACATTCAAGGCGTCTCCAAACGTCTCGGCCACGCTGCTCTCATCAACTTGATTTTGCTATCTTTCGGCGCTCGCCTCAACTACCTCTCGAATAAATGGTTGTGTCACTATGAGCGGCATGTCACCATGCATGGGTTGATTGGTTTTATCGCGGCAATTGAAGCCACCCTTCATACCCTTCTTTTGAGTCTAGAGAGTTCGCCGGATCTAGACCAAGTTCGAACTGTCGCGGGCCTCGTTGTAGGTTTTATCTCTTCTGGTCGAGGCGCTTGCTAACTTCTCTAGGCGTGCTGTGGCGCCGGCGCCGCTCTATGCTCCTCAATCTGCTTTTTTTTCCCTTGGCTCTTTGATTTGTATTCTGTGGTTCATTCAAGCTTTGCGATCTTGATTTTGGTGTCGTTGTGGCTTCATATTCCTCAAGGCGATCTCTTCGAGCCCCCACGGCTGTATATACTCCTTGCTTCGACGCTATTCGCCGGGGTGAAACTTATGAGGCTTGTAACAATTGCATATCTTAGCCGAAGGTCTCTTGCTACAGTTCAAGTTGATACAAATCGTACGATGATTCAAATAAGCGTCCGCCCTACTCGAACGCTAGACGTCAGAGCTGGCCAGTTCTTCTACCTGAATCTTCTGGATTTCTCACTGACTTCGGCGTTCCGGTCACATCCTTTCCAAGTCTCATGGGCCGACAGAGATGCCAATGGGCGGCAGGTCCTCGATTTTATCGTTCAGCCACGAAGAGGCTTCACCAGAAAGCTTCTGTTGGCTGATCCTCGGGTTCAGTATAAGATTGCTCTGGAAGGGCCGTACGGTCGCCATCCTCGGTTGGAAGAGTACGTAACAGTCCTAATGTTTGCCACAAATGCGGGCATATCTGGTCATTTGCTCTATATGAAAGAGCTTTTTGCACTTCGTCAAGATCCATCAACTAGAACGCAGAAGATATCTTTATTCTGGGAGATAGATGCAGAAGGTGAGTAACTTAAACGAAGTTCCAACCGTCATTCTCAAAACTAACCTGACAAGTCTACCGCTACTGGGTGAGAGAATGGATGGATCACCTGCTGGGCTTGGACAATGAGTCAAATGGCGTCGAGTTCCTCGATTTGCATGTCTTTGTTCGTGGTGGTTACTTGTCCAGCGAGACGGAGCCCGGTCAGATCGAACAACCGGGAGTGCGAGACAGACTGACAATACACTATTATCCATTGGATGCCAGGAGTCAAGTAGCATCGGAAATTGAGAAAAGAGATGGTCCAACAATCATATCACGTAAGTTGGTTCTCTTCTGCACTAAACGTATCTTGCTAAAGGGATAGTCTGCGCCGATCCTCGAACTACTAGAGAAATCGTGAGGCAAGTGTGCTCGAGGTTAAACGAAGAGATTTCGCTGCACGAGCTTGATTTTCAACCTTGGATCTCTCCGATTAACGATTAAATTGTTTTTTGGCCACTTAGTCTTGCTCCTAAGTTAGGGGTCGTTCAAATATATGTAGCACCTTTCAATGAAAGAATACATTATCTATTCGGGAGAACTATATTTGGAAGATTGGCTGCTACGAAGCAGGCTGCCCTCTCGCTCCGACTCATGCTTCCCGATGTCAAAATCACGAATGGCAGCACCAAGTAGATCGACTATTTCCGAAAGTCTGTCTCGTAGCTCATCTCCAAATCGTTGCACGTTTTGCAAGTGAGCTAGCTCTGCCCGAAGGGCGCCAGCCTCCCGCGTCTTTTCCTCCACAGCCTTCTTTAATGAAGTTTTGGAGAAAGTCTTCGTAGCTGCAAGACGTTCGGGGGTCGCGTCTAAAGAAACAGTCGACCCATGCACTCTAGCAATAGCTAGGTCAATCTGGCGAGGAGGAGCGGGCTGGTCCATGACTGTATCCTTGGTTGGAATTGTTTCTCTAGCGATGATTGTGTCTCTTGTCGTTTCTTTTGGTGTTTGCGTTTATTTACTACATGAGCCAAATTTGTCACCCTTTATCCACACTCTTTAAATGATTTGATCCCCCACAAAGCTTGTCTGGTTTTGCACCCCGTAGGCCGTTTTTGCACCCCGCAGGCCGTTTTTGCACCCCGGCCACTGATATCAACCATAACAAGTAGATACATCTCAAGCATATTATTTTTAGCAGACGCTATAGGAGTTCTTGTCTATATATGTATATCTGATGATACCAGTCTGGGGCTATGTTTACTACGGGATACTGGCCACGTCCTGGTGTGTCTCTAAAAATACTGTTTTTGGAACTTCTATTTCAACTCCGACTGCTGCTGTGCACGGCTTTATGAGAACCACAATGGCCCATTACAACAAGATATAAACCCTTCATCTCCCGCTCAAAATCTCCCTCCTAAATAAGTTACTACACTCGCCCAAATCAGTTATTGCACTCGAAAATTCACCATGGCCCTCAATCTTCATCTGCCGTCCTATTTTTTCCTCCTTGCCCTGCCTCTTGCCTTGGGCGAGGCCTCGCCAGTTGCCAGAAAATCGAATAAAAAGAATCAATCACAGAGTGTTTCCACTGATAAGACTGGAAACATTATTGCCATCGTCGGCCTCGCTCTCGTGATCATCGTCATTGGCATCAACATCCTCATTGCCTATAAGCTTAGACAACACGAGAATCAGAAGCAGGAGCGGCTCGCAGCTACAGAGAGCAGTGCAACCCTGACCCCTCTGACCCCTCAAACCTCTCGAGTCTGGGAGCCTCCTGCTTGGACACCACCTCAAGCTCCTGGATCCGTGACGACAATCACTGCAACAAGGCCCTCGAACTGAGAAATATCAGAGGAGCTCATGATATCTTTTTTTTTTTTGGCGAGCCCCCTCTGGAGGTGGAACAATGGATTGTTCATTACACATTTCATTTGTATTTAGACTCTGATTAAATTCCGTGAATAAAGTCGCATACCTTCCTAGAAATGCCGAATTTAGTGTTGTAGTTCAATGAAGAGGAATAAAGAAGGGGGTTCTTCCATCTTGTTACAAGTGGCTATGTCGTAGAAATTACCGGATTGCAGTATCATTTCATCATATTTATAGCTAAGAACAGATCTACTTAGAATAAGTTATTTGCAATATGTGAAGAGGGTTCAATGAATTGCTTTTATTGGAGAAAATATCAACCCATCTACCGACATAAAGTACCTCAAAGTTATCCCGATACCGACGAGTTCCCTAGGTAACCAACAGACTCACAGCACGATAGACCAACTGTGATCAAGAAAAGTGACTCAGTTTCCCGAGACTTGTTCTCCTTGATAAAGTACAAAAAACTCTTACGTACCTTTTCAAAACCATCCTCTTCTCCAGGGCCAACATCACGGGAGTACTTGGCTTGTGGTGTGTAGAGTTTGAAATTGAACCCTGACCCGCTATCGCCAATAGAGCTAGCCAGATCTTTTAGCGTGATGCTGAAAAAGTCGCCTTGAAAATCCCAGATGATGTTCCATCCGTCAGGGTTTGTCACACTGTATTGGATGTTGTACCATTTCGAGGATAAACTCGGGTCCGTGGGCTGAAAAAACGACTGCAAGGTCGCCAAGACACCTGTTCTTGACTCGGATGCGGCGCTCTCCTCCTCCAAAAATGGACGGGTTACGGAGGTAATAGGATTGGGCTCACGCACTGCCGGCAAGAGTGAGTCTATATCGACGACAATAGACTCTCCCGCGGGCTGAGAAGCCCTTGGGTCGCCGGTGTTTGGCTTAGGAGCGACTTCTGCGGTTGTAATTATGTCCTCAATCTTCAGCCCATGCGTAACCTTCTTGTCTTTCATTGCAGAGTGGGACACCACTGAACCACTGATACTCGGTTCATAGTTTACTTTCTCTTCTTCTGCAGGCTGAAAGATTTCCATATTGCCAGTGTCTGACCAGTTCAAGTCAAAGGACATAGTCTCCCGCCTATTCTTCTTCCGCTGTTTATCTCGCTGTTGGTTATTGATCTGGAGGAAGAGATATTTCAACCTTTCTTCAATTCTGTTTCCCTTGTGAGTGAAGAACATTCTTAGATCAAAATTAGTATCTTACAATGCAGAATCTCTTGGAAAGAGGGGCTTCTGTGGAGAACAGTCATTCCAAAAACGGCTTCCATTTTCACTCAGAAACGCAGACGCCATTTCGCCTAGGCCAGCATTATCATGAGATGATCCCCAAGATATAAAAGTGTGGCCTTGCCTGCCATCACTGGCCTGAAATTGTGAAGGGAAACGTTTCACTGAAGTATAGAAATCATTTGCCGAGGGGCTTTGGATGTTGGCGGGATACCCTAAAGCTTGACGTAGGGGTTTGATGCCAGGAAGGTGCTTCCAGTTCGCTGATGCCATTTTTTCTGATCTCTCGCAGGCATTTTGAAGCGCAGACCAGCTACTCGGGAGATATTTGTATATTTATCCCTCTCTATCATTGCGGACTTGCTGCCCTGCTTTCTAAAATTATTTCTTCAAGGGGTGTTTTTCTGGTGTTTATTTTTGGGCTTGGGGGGGGGGTGAGGGGTGGGGGTCGTTGGGTGGTTTAGACCAACACGAAAGCCACCCCACCCCAGGCTTTTCCTTGAGGCATACCAACAGCCTTTAGAGCACCCATGCCAAACAGCACCATGGTACTATACATAGCTTCTATAGAGTGCTAGAGCCTACATCTTGATATCACTACACCTTGAGCACCAGAGTGCTACACCCCAATACCTTTACAGTGCTACACCTAACACCTGAGTAGTACTATCTACAGCTTCAACAGAGCACTATACCCTCCCAAGTACTACAACTCCAAGTACTACCACAAAATAAATGAATAGCACTATTCATAGCCACCTCCTAAGTACTACACCTCCCAAGCACTACACCTCCCAAGCACTACACCTCCCAAGCACTACACCTCCCAAGCACTACACCTCCCAAGCACTACACCTCCTTAGCACTACACCTTCCAAGCACTACACCTTCCAAGTGCTATACCTCCCAAGTACTACACCTCCCAAGCACTATACCTCCCAAGCACTACACCTCCTTAGCACTACACCTTCCAAGTGCTATACCTTCCAAGTGCTACACCTCCCAAGCACTACACCTCCCAAGCACTACACCTCCCAAGCACTACACCTCCCAAGCACTACACCTCCTTAGCACTACACCTTCCAAGTGCTATACCCCTCAAGTACTATACCTCCCAAGCACTACACCTCCTAAGTGCTATACCCCTTAAGTGCTACACCTTCCAAGCACTACACCTCCCAAGCACTACACCTCTCAAGTACTACGCCTACCCCTCCATGGAGTACTACGCCTGATGTTTTGATAGTACTACCCATAGCCTTCATAGAGTGCTACCCCCAATACCTTGAGAGTACTATGTATAGACTCCATGGAGTGCTACACCTGAGGTCTCGATAGTACTACCCATAGCCTTCATGGAGTGCTACCCCCAATACCTTGAGAGTACTATGTATAGTCTCCCTGGAGTGCTACACCTGAGGTCTCGATAGTACTACCCATAGCCTTTATGGAGTGCTACCCCCAATACCTTGAGAGTACTATGTATAGTCTCTATGGAGCACTACGCCTGATGTCTGGATAGTACTGCTCATAACCTTTATATAGAGTGCTAAGCCCAATACTTTGATAGATATTTAAGGAGACGCGCAAAAAATTATTCATTCTACCAGCAGACTTTTCCGCCAGCCACTATGTCTAACCTACCAACTCAAGGTCCGTCAATTCATTCTCATCAAAGCTGTATCAAGAACTTATTATCATGGTAGATTCGGCTTTAAACCTTCCGGGCAGGCTGCCAACCAAAACAAGACCATTTGACGTTAGAAATGCCACGTATTGCTATGCTCCTGACGTATATCGCCCTTTTATCAGGATAGTTGGCATCATGAAGATCGACGAAGTTGTGCGATTCGAAGCTGAGTGGTCCATGTCACTCGTTCCGATGCAGTATCTTGGAAAATCAAGTTTGCCCAGAGCAAAACAATTAGTCCTTAAACGATATCCGCCTTCAGTCTGGCAGGCTTGCCTTAAATCCTGGGAGGAGTTGCAGCCAACTCGTCAGGAGCTTTCGAGGTACCCAATTCGCTATATGGAGCAAGCTTTCAGCCGCGATGAAACCATAGAGTTTGCCATTCGATGGCCAAATAGCTATATGGGTATTGAAGAACTTGAGCCGGCTTGCTTACCGATGGCAAGAGACCTAGTTGTTAGGCAGTACGGGACAACAACCTGGGAGGCATGTCTAGAACGGAGACGCAATATGCAGAGCAAGTATCGTCAGCCTCTTCGCCCGCTGCCATGTTGAATTTGGTGGTAGCCGCTTGAACTTCATAGAACTTCAATAAATTTACCTAAGATAGAAACCCTAATTCTCAGCCTATGAGCGATCCCAAGCCTTCCATGATGCCATCTTTCCCTCCCTACCTATCAACATATACCATCAGTCAAAACACCAGCAAGAGGGGGCAGAATTATTACAAAGTTTGCAGGATACAAACTTCGAATCATCCTCTATCTAACCTTTGAAAGAAAATCAAACAAGAATAGAGCTCCCAGTCCGATCATCACTCTACAGTGATTTCCCCTGGTGTGAGAGGGAAACCTGCTGGAGGGACAGGCACGCCGGCTTCCTAGGAAGTTTTGAGAGAGCAACACCAGGGGCGGGGGCGGCGGTTTCCGAAAGCCGAGCAAAGGAGGCCAGACAGGTAGAGCTTCAGGCGCGCGCTTCTACAATTCCATGTCAATCAATACACAATCTACATCCACACAATCCTCTAAAACAATCCCGCGACCCTCCTTGTCGAATAAATGCGCGTCGGGACTCTGACGCAGGAGGCCTTCTACAGCCTGTATAACCGACTGTCGCCGACATGTCTGGATCACCTTTTTATCAAACATGTTCTTAATCTCGATCCGTGCTTCCATTGGTAGCACCTCTTTCTGGTTCGCTTTCTGTGCGTCTTGGTTCTCTTGGTTCAATGTCCGCTCAACTGATTTCTGGATAGACTTTGAACCGGGTTTGGACGACTGCGACGGCTTGCCGACTCTAGCTGGCTGTATAGCGCCTTTCGCTGGAGTTGCAGCCTGTTTTTTGGCACCTTTTACTGGCGCGCTCGCCCCGTCTGGCTTCAGCCCGCTTCGCCCAGAGCCAGTCGCTCGAGGTTGGTCTCTTGGCCGCTTCCTGCGGGTGAAGGCGGGCAAGTCTGGCATGTTCGCATCACCACTTTCCAAAGGAGATTTTCCCATGTCCATCTCATCCTCGTTCGAAATATTGAATCTCTCCTGTCCGTCGGTGTCATGTAAGCCCCAAAAAGCGAGGAAGACGGACCTCCGTACAAAGAGTGATGTGATATCGGCATTCTTCTCCACACCGCACGTGAAATTTTCGACCGTTAAGGAGTGGCGATCACGAAAATAAGCGCTTGAGTACTGGCGTCCACATCGCCTATTCAATGGCTCTCCCGGGCAGGAACATGTCAACGTTGATTGTTGTTGCCTTTCCTGTACCCTGTGAGCTTTGTTGAAGGTGTCTGTGATCGTAGTAATCAGAGTATCAAAGCCGGAGCTTTCGTAGGAGTACAGATCAGGTTTACGAGCATTTAGTAATGCTCTTTTTGCTTCTGCTCGGTCTGGGTCGTTAGAGAGGCGATTGGTGACCGTTTGGGACTCGAACCCTAGGTCAGACGCTCGCTTTGCTAGGTTGAACCATGCCCTGGGATCAGGAACAAGCTCGCTTGGCGGTTTCTCATTATCCTCTAGTAACGGATACTCCCCGGAGAGTTCGGTCAAGTTCTGCATGATATGTAAACAGAGTAGTTTGTAGCTTCCCTGGAACACAGGATCGGAGCGATCCGCTTCGGCTTTTCGGTGGCGGAAGGCAGCGAATGCCGTCTGTTCCACTGTACACTCGAGAGGAGCGTCGCCTAGCAGGAGCTGTTTCACCATGTGAGTGCATCGACGTACGTATTTGAAGTCCATCTGCAAGGTCCGGAGGGACGGAATAAGGCAATAGACCGATTTCGTCCGTTCCAAAAGCTTCTCTCTCTCTGCTTTGTCAGTGACGTCGTGGAAAGCCATTCCTCCTCGGATCACCGAAGTCACATGTTGCTCGTCAATTGATGAGATTCCAGGACACCGCAGCTCAAGTTCTCTGACGGCGTCTTCGTCAACATACCTTAGGTTAGCCTCGGACCCCATAATATAGACCCATGCCCTTCTGATATGAACGAGGCAATGGACTATATTCTCATAATTCTTCGCGGAGATTGTCTCCGGCAGGGTCCCAATCTGCAGCCCCTCCTGCATCCCTGGGATTTGAAGTAGGACATTGGCATAAGCTGGGCCGAGGATCGGATGGCTTCGAAGCCTCTTTAGAATACGTTGCTTGCTCTTACTCAACCTTGATAACCACTGCTTTTCCTGGATGGTTGTTTGGTGCTCACAAACCTTCGCGTAGATGTATCCATCTGAGTAGGGGCCATCATTATCATGCCCTTCACTTAAGAGGTTCTGTGCTGCGGATGACAAGTCTTAGGCCGTAAGCCTGGGTTCAATATCTAAGTCCGAGTTTCTCGTCGACCTACCGGCATAAAGCCTGACCGTCCACCAGTCTGGACGCGAGAGCTCCCGAAGCGCCTTGATCCGACTCCGGCCGCGGAGGCAGTGGATGAAAGTTCCCTGGGGGAGGAAAAGAAAAGGGGGGTCAGTAAGCCGAGAAGAAGCCCTCAGCCCATCAGCAGTTAGGCCCGAGCTCTTGAGTGCGAGAGCAAGTTGGCTAGCGGAGATATTTCCAGGAATATGGTGAGTAGGGTTCACTCGGTCACATCCCTCGGTATTAAAAATATTTTTGAGCCGATCAACTTTTGATCTATCGACATTGGCATCTGCACTTTTGAAGCCAGGAAAGAAGGCAAGTTGGTCTCCATGCACTTTTACGACACCACAATACTTGTCTTGTTGCTCGGATTCGAGATTCTCAGTCTGCTGTTCGAGGGCACACAGATTCATAGCGAAAATGTAAACAGTGAGATATTAGCACTATGCCTGCTCCTTCTACATGCTCGCAGCCATCGGCTTCGCTTTTTGTTGACGGCTGCCTGCTGGCCCATTATTGGAATGGCAGAGGCCATTTTCAGTCAAGCACCGATGCTCCACACCTCTGTTGGGTACAATGCGAGAAACGGAGAGAAGGGGTCCTAACGGTAGGCAGTCCGTCGAGACCGTTCTGTTTGCATAATTTGCGTGCATAAATCTGGCTGGTGGAGGTACTCAGTCACCTGACTGACGTGTTGTCCCGGCGCGACTGAGCGGGTCCCTGAGCAAGAGCGGCGAGGGCGCTAGAATCAAAATGGAAGCGCCACATTGTTTTGTCACAGGTACTAGCCACGCACTTGGGCTTGACTTGAGCCGCGAGTGCGAGGCTAACAATCTTGGGCGGAATGTCTTGAAATGTTTCGGCTTGCCCGGTCATATTGTTGTGATGCTTCTGCTTCAGGTTTGCCTTTTCGCCTCTTGATCCATGGTATGTCACCGTGTGTGTGTCGAAGACAAGGCAGAGATTACTGGTCAATTTTGAGGTTTCGAGGGGACGAAGCGTTCTGGAAGGCCGCTACAACAAGGCAAGTGCACCCAGAGCACTTTCCGACGGATCCACCCACACCTCGTCCGCCTCACCGAGATGCAGCAGCAGCCACATCCGTCCCACCTTCCCCTCATGTGACAACCTGCAGCTTGATTCAAGCTCATGATAGAAGAAGCTCCGGAGCCTTGTAGCCGGATGAGATCCCTCAGATGCGGCCCGCGATACGCACCCCGATGTCGTACAAAGTAACCCGCAGTCTCTGGTCCCAAAACTACTCGAAAGACGGTTCGCCCGACCCTTGCTGGAAGGCGTGCACCTACCTGCTCGCATTGCTCGGCATCATTTGGGCAACTCGAGGTCACGATACCGAGTTAGGGGAACAAAGCAAATCCAAGGCGGGGTGCAAAGTAATCTTACGTATTGCCAACTCGCCATGAGCTCTGATACACAGGTCTCAGCCATGGTACATAATGGTGTGCTTGCACTGGGGCATTGTTTGCGGGGGGTGGCCAGGGTCTCGAGGAACCTTTAAAACCAAGCCAATGCTGGCCACACTTTTGAAGATCTTTCTCGTCGCCAGCTGATGGTGAGACTCTAAGAACGCAGGACCTGTCTTTTCCGGGAAGGCTTGCATGTGATGGCTCTCGGTGTCCAATAGACACCTGTTGCTGGTTGGGCATCTACAGAAGCCACCGCTCCCTCTCGAGCCTGCACCCAGCCTCAATACCTTAGACAACAACCCAACCCATTATTTTTAGTGGATGTGACCTTAGCGGATGTGATCACTGGCCGAAAATAGAAATACATTGATCAAAGAGGAATGCAAAGGAAAACAGTCACAGCAGAGACGACATCCGACATAGCTACATACACTTCAAGCGTCGACGCTATCCGTCCTGGTTGCACCTTTGCGCTGACTGAAATGCTTGATGCACCCTACTATTGCCATGGGTCAATATTGCTTCCGTCATTGAGTCCAGGAGCCACGCCCTTAACGGTGTAGACTAGAATTCGGCACATCGGATAATGGCCTTGATTCCGAAGAGGGATCTCGGGACAGGGACTGGGAGCACTTCTCCCTTGATAAGTACATGATGCACATGTTTTTATTGCTACCTTCACGGAAGTCTAGGCTTAAGCAAGGAAAATGGCTATGTGAGGCCGCCGGTTGCTTCCATACCTCGCAGTGGGTGCTGCTATGGGAAGGAGCGCAATGCCGTCTAAGTGTGTGATTCAAAGCGCCGATACGGGTGCCTAGCTATAGACAATCAAAGTAGCCTAATATATTTTTTCGTGAGAGTAGAGAGTTCTGAGATGCGGTGAATACCAAAATCGAATCCCATGACGCGCAAGGCGATCGAGTTGGCAGAGTACCTGCTCGCTGCCACTGACCGCCCTCGTCGGTCACCGCCCGCAAAGAGCCACTGGCACCCTCTGGAATCAGCTTCATTCTGCCTCTCGTTGCGGCCATCGCATTCACTGAAATCGCAGACCGCTTTGGCAGCGCATTGCCTTAACGCGTCGCGTCGCGAAAACCAAATTGTCCTCCTCACATTTCGAAGCTTCCTCCACCCCGCTTCACTCCCATCAAATCTCTCTTTCTCTGCCAAATATCCTGCAAAACAGCATCTCTTAGATGTTGCCTCGAGAATCTTCATTGTTTATTGATATTGGTCTTCACCTACCTATCTGATCACCTAACAAGTTCTTGGGTCTTGAGCGCGTGGTTCTCAACAGCCCCTTTACAGCACTCCAGAGCCACGAGCTGTAACCAACATGTTTTACAGCCATGAAAGTAAGCTCGCATTCTTGTACTTCGATCTGAAAGTAATTCATCTCGAAGCTGACACTTTAATAGTCCTGACGAGCACTCAGTATGGAGTGGCCACCATTTGGTACGTCTTGTCCCCCGCCTACCCTTACCTGCCTGTCACTTGGCGATACTATCATGGCCACTAACCTGGACAAAGGCTCGTCGCCACCGTAGGAAAGGGGACCCAAAATAAGGTGTCCCGAAAGCTGATCCAGGAAGTCAATGTGCCAAGGGCATGCGAAAAGATTCTTGACCCGGGAGCCCCTCTTGCCTTGCGATTGCAAGCAAGCCTACTCTACGGCGTCTCGCGAGTTTTCTCCCAACAATGCAACTATGTCCTATCAGACGCCGAGAGAACCCAGACCGAAATGGTTTCCTATTTCAAATCCATGCAGCAAAGCGAGATTGATCCGCAGGCCGGAAAGACAAAGTGAGTTTGCGATTTTCCTCGTCTCTGTCTAGAGTGGGATAGTCCAGTAACTGACGTTTCTCCCAAAGGCGACACAATATCGTTCTCGAAGATGATCCTACCTTTGATCCACTGGCGGCCTTGCCTCAGCTCGACCTGCTGAAGTGGGATGCCAGTCAAATCCTGCAAGCAAGCAACACTTCGAGTAACCAATACTCCCACCTCACGCCCCTTGCAAGCCAGAACAGCGGTTCTGTAGGGCGCAAGCATTCTCGTTTCAGCATCAACCTCCCTGAATCTTCTCTCTCGGCTCGGAGCTATCATATCCCCTCCGACTTTGGCCAGCAAAGCCCGTCTGGGTTCAAGCCATTCCACCGTGGTCTGTCAGCAGACGTCAACCCTTTTGACGACGACGACGCTCTAGGCGGCATGATTGGCCTCGAAATAGATGCAGATGGGAATATCCTTGAGCTCCTGGACAATGAACCTGTCCTCCCGCCTCTTCCAAACCCAGAAGATATCGAAATGGGTGAGGACTTCGGGCAACAAAATACGAATAACCGCCTTGACAAGAATTTCGAAGCGCTGGTGTTGGGAGATGAGGAAATCCTGCCTGACGCAGAAGCGTTCCCCATCCAAGCTCAAGCAGCAAACTGGGACCGTCTTCCATCGTCAACACCTTCCCTTGTGCCATCTTCTCCCAATATGCAGGTTGCACACAGCCGCAAGGGGCGCCCTCGCAAGGCGAACGTCCTGCTTGACGAGGTGGAGTATGTTTCCCATAGGGAAATGGAACGATGGGACTTGGAGTATCTAGACAACGTGGACGCCGTACGCAAAGACCCAGCGAGAACCACTCTAGGCCAAGCAAAGAAGAACGCCCAGGCATTCCTGTTCGACAACGGCATTGCAAACGTTGGCTTGGGCTTTGTTCCTAACCCCCTTGCAGAGGATTTCGCTGGCCATCAGTTCGTCGCCAACCTTCTAGGGCCAGAGTTTGCGGACGAGGTTGCTGTCAATGAGGTTAAAGAGAGGCGTGGGCGTCGCAAGAGATCCGAGGCTTTCACGCCAGAAGAAGAAGCGAAGAGCCAGGCTGAGCACTTGACAAAGAGAATCAGCAATGAAGAGGTAGAGATCGCCCGCCACGACGAGCCTGTCATCCTCGGCGAGGAGCCAATCCCAGAAATGGGGATGGGCGCCGCTGGCCCCCTTTCAGATCGACACTCCTCTGCCATCATGCCCTGGTCCAGACAGGGCTCAGTCATTCCGGGGTCATCCTTGCGTGGATCTGCCCAGAAGGCCGGCCACGGGAGCATCCTTCAATCGATCGAGCGTTACAGCGATGTAGGCTTCGGTTCCGATTTTAGTGCCCAGGTGCCTCTCCAGGTCGCTTAGGCAGGACCGAACGGAGATGGCCACCAAGCAAATGAGACCGTTGCAGAGAACGCACATAGCCAGAGCGGCGGGCTTGATGTCGCAAGCCAGAGCTTCCTGGAATACGCCACCGCGGAGGCGGACAAAGTCGCCGCCCCAGACAACAAGGGACGTACTTGGGTCGATTTTGAGCAGCTCGCGACTCCCGGTGTGCACGACAAGCACACTGCCGCGCAGGCGTTCCTCCACGTCCTGTCTCTGGCGACGAAGAACGAGATTTCTGTTCGTCAGACCGGCAGCCGTGCCATGGAACCGTTTGGAGAAATCCACGTCGGCTTGCCGTCTGGCAGCCGTGGTGCTGCACGTGCCGAGCGTGCCGAGTGAGCGAAGAGGACGGCTTCTGCCGTTGAGATGGTTGATATCTCAGAATCATGATGGGCGTTTCGGATATTCATGAGGACTTTTGTTGTTGGTTTTGACTTTACAAATACGGGAAGGGCAGGATGCTCTTGGGAATATGGTCTTCGGTCCTGAAGCACCAACTATCGCGGAAGTGGCGTTTAGTGATATTTGAAAACTTCGCAGACTTTGTGCTCGCAGGGGTGAAACATTGCGCAGGAATCTACGGGGACAGTCTCTCACGTTAGCAATCGAGATCATCGGTTCGTTTTATTTGCAAAGGGTTCAGGGGTTCAATCAAAAGTTTGTATGTTCATTATTCATTATATCCGCTAGTCTAGTCAAATGGGTCATCATCAACACCTTCGCGATCCTCGAACGTCATGTAGCCAGCTCCATCAGTAGCCTCATCAGCACGGGTCACAGCGTCCCACGCCGCGCGAACATGACTCATAACATCATCGTTGAAGGCTAGATCTAAGCACGGCTGTGGCATACGAATGATGGGGCCATCCACCTCCACCGAGGAGGAGGCGGTCTTTTGTTCATAGTAGACCTGGAAACTTGAACTGGGAACGTCGCCATCAATGGTAATGGTGGACAGTAAGGACGAGAGGGCTTCAACTAAGAGCCCATGAGAATCGGCGGAAGTAACTGTACTTAAATACACAACACCTATAGCAGTCATGTTAGCGAGTGCTTTGAACAAAAAGTCCCAGAAACATGATGAATAATGACAAGGTGTGAATCAGGTTGTCAGAGTTGTAATCGTCAATGAAGTTCAGACAATGTAGATAAGTATTCGTAATAAGTGAATCATCCTAACACGTGGGATAAATCCCAAAGAGAAGAAGAAAAAAAGAAAATTATTTACTCACATTTGGAAGAAGGACATTCGCCAGTATCGCTGGAATGAATCATGGCGTAGATGGGATAAGTAGATACCTGGCCATCTTTGGTCGAAACCGAGGACGGTGGAAAGGCTACCACAGCCACGGCTGGAGTAGGTGCCCCTTCAATAACAACATTAAAGACCGAGGAAAGAGAAGATTCCACTACAGCCGTCAGTCTGCTCAGTTGAACATCGCTGTTCACTTTTTCAGTGGATTGGACAAGGAGCTTGGTTTGAACGTCAATGTCGTTGGTGAGCGCGACTTGGAGCACTTGCTCCGCATCGTCACCTTCGGGCTTTGACACCTCTTTCATCCCCGTACCCAGCATGTACACAGCGCCGCCAACAGCAGCTGCTCGGCAGCCCACTTGGGCGACTTCGGACAGGCCACCGTATTTCGGGTAAATGGCCGCGAAGCCCGCACCAAACAAGCCCATGGAGGTCATATGCTTATAGATGATCGCCAGACCGGAAGCAACGGAAATGTTTCCATCGTGACTCAAAGTAAGCGTGATGACGTAGGACTGTAGCTTGGTATCCAGCTTGAACTGGGACTTGAGAAAGTCAACCAGTGGTGCGTCGGCATGAGGTTTCCAAAGTTCTGCCTGAGCCTCCGATTCGTAGTCCAAGACGAACTTGAGGAACTTCATGAGCGAACGCTTCGACTTCGCTGGGATGGCAGTATTGGAAAATACATCCTCGCGGGTCGAAGGGATTCTGCTCAAGGACGCGACGTGCTCGGATTCGGAGGGAGGTTGGAAGATGTAAAACGAGCCCACGGCAAGGAATTCAATCTGCCTGAATGCCTTGGAGGACACCAGCTGCGAGATGAGTTCCGCCTTTGTGTGAACAAGCTGAGGAGCCAGAGCCAGGCTATACGCTCGCGGAGAGGCTGGCCCTTGACCGTCCTTCGTGACCTGCACATTGGAAAAGGCGCTATTGGCACTCGAGGACTGATGCTCAGCAGCCCACTCCTCCACCTCTTGCAGACTCAGCGCAGCCTCGGCCTCTCCATAGTACTGGTTCGGATCGATGTGAAGAATGTTCTTGCCAGATCGCGACAGGGCACTTTGAGAAAAAAAACGAAGGCAGACGAGTCAGCCAGAGTTGCAGGCACCGTCGTTGACCAATGGAGTCCAAGCTTACAGGGCGAGAAGGGACTGCTGTAGCCCAGTGCCGCTGATCACTACATCCCACTTGGTATTTGAAAGGGATTCCATGGTTCGAGCATTCCCCGTCGCGAGGGAGGGAGGGAGGAGCAGGATATCGAGGGAATGGAAAAAGAAGAAAAAAGCCCGGTCCAAACAGCGAAGGCTGGAAGAAATTTAGCTGACTACTAGAGTCTCCACAAAAGTTTGGTCGACGACAGTGGAGCCCCACAAACCGCTCTTAAAGAGGCTGGCCAACTGCGCGTTCTGGATTTCGTCTTTTTTCTTCTCTTCACCCGCTCATACTTCACGCCGTGTCTAACAGCGTCTTTTCACTAAGGCGCCTTGTGTCACATGCGAGTTCGAAATTGTTTTTCGCTGAGCGGTAGATGGAGTTTTGTCTGCCGGTATCTACTGCCCTAGATCGTTGATGTGATAGGGTGGTTCGAATGGTTGGCACATTTTATTCTTAGTCTACGTGTCTGTCCTCTTTGTATCTCACCCAGAAGCTGATATTTGGCAAAAATCAATGAGTGCATGTCGGCGTAATATTTTTGTCAACGGATTTCCAGTCATGGGTATCATTTCCTATTCTAAACTTGGCTATCAATGGCTTCCGTAAAGCCCTTCCACCGCGTTGTGATCCAGCTGATGAATTCCTTCGAAGTCAAGAGCTTGGGGTCCAGGCTGGTTCCCCCCTGCTTGGAGATGGACAGAATTTGAGCACTTCCACCGCTGCAGTCGGCAACAATAGTGATGCTTTCGTCGCAGAGAGACTCTTCTAGAGTGTCAGGGTCGGCCAGCAACCAGTAACGGCTCTCGTCAGATTGATCAGTATCCTTTCCTGTGAAGACGACTGCGGTGCATGCGATCGGCTTTCCCTTGAGCGCAAGAGGTCTCGGGTTTTCTCTCGAGCAGATAACCAGCTCTCTATCCTGGTCGAATCGTGCTTGCGGGAGTTTGGTGTCTCGCAAGGCCGCAAGTGTAGCAGCCCAAGCTGCGTCGAAAGGGTTGCCATCGAAGGAAATAAAGAATATATCAATGTAGAGTACCCAATAGGCCACGACTTGTTTCTTGCTGCTTGCCGCGTCGTCTTCATCATTATCCTCATTCTCGTCATCCATTTTCTCGTCTTCTTCGCCGTAGCTTTCCTCTGACCGCGTATGCCATATTCGTAGATCGTCGGGTTGAACGAGTTTCGAGCTGTGCAGTAAAGAAAAAATCCTCGTGCTCAGGGTTTGAGCAAGCGTTGTTGGAGGGCCGCCAGGCAGAAACTGAGGCGCAGATCCAGTTGCCAATTCGATATTAGGGACGAGGAGGTCGTAATCCGAAAGCTCTGTCTCGGTATTTGACTCCCGGAAGCTGGGAATGTTGGATGTGAGGATCGTCTCGCCGCGCACACCACAGATGACAGTGGTATCACCCATACGCACCACGGCGCTTCCGTGTGCATGTGACAAGCTCGATAAATTTACGGTCGGGGTCCGGACTTCGCTCGGGATGCGTCCATTGCTTCTCGCTGGTGCCGCATCGTCGGAGGGATCGAGGTTTGCCAACAGGTATGGGTGAGGGGAGAGCTTTGCAAATGTTGCTCGCGACAGCCCAGCTTCGGGTGCCATTACGGTTTGTGGGTTTGAGAGAACTCCAGAACTTGCAAGGTGCAATTTTCTATGGGCCAGAAGAAAAGATCGAGATATGATTTGGTGATCTTCGAGGTTGCTGAGAGCGTGGCAGCAGAAAAATTGTTTCGTCACTGTATCTAGCCTCGCGGTCAGGAACATTGAGTGGAGAAGGCTGAAGGTTTGGTTTGGCTGAGCCCAAGTGATACCAGCTACCCTAGGGCTTACCATTTTGTTATCTAGGTACTGAGGGGAGATAGGATCCAAGAACCAGAGAAAAGGACGCAAGGGTAACAATCGATCCTAGTGCTGTATTTTCTTGGTTCTGCTCAATTTCTGCTCAATTCCTTCTCTTGATCCTTGACAGTGTTTCTGCTATCTAAGTGCAGGTTGCGTGCGGCCAAATCAATCAATCCTTGTGCTTTGCATCACTCAAGAGGTGCTTCTGCCCCCTGAGGAACAGAAAAGTCAGCAACGACCTAGCCCACAATGAGCGAGTCAACAGAACTGGTAGAACTCCAAGGCCAGATTGTAGGAGCCCTAGCCTGCCAGCGGGACTCGTACCTTGAAAGCCTAGATGCTGTAGTAGTGTCATGCGTCAAGAAGGAGGCTCCTCCCTTGCAGAATGGAACCAAGAAGAAGGCAAAGGCTTCCAATGAGGTGCAGAAGGATACTTGGTTGATTGAATTCTCAGACTCGGTACTTTTTCCAGAAGGCATGTTTTATCCCACTAGCTTTACTGAGCAGCCTTAGTACAGACGATTTACTGACTGGATGGTTCGTGGATTTCAGGGGGCGGCCAGCCTTCAGATTATGGAACACTGCAACTTCTATCTGACACCAATTCTGAGGCTATCATTATCAAGTTTGTAGAGAGGCTCAGCCTCCGATGTGTGTGTCATTCGCCCCAGCCATTGAAAGTGGGCGAACGTGTCCGCCAAAATCTCGACGTCAAGAGGCGATGGGACAACATGCAGCAGCACACCGGCCAGCACCTTCTGTCCGCCGTGATGAACAGTTACGATGGCCTCAACACACTCGGGTGGGGGATGGGAAGCGAGGGCGATATGAACTACGTCGACCTGGCCCGCAAACCCTCAGAAGCGGAGATGGAGGCCATCCAAGCACGTTGCAATGAACTCATATCGGAAAACCTGCCCATCGCGGTGGACACACCTTCGGACGCCAAGCAAGACCGCCTACCTGGAGACTACGACAAGGGCAAAGGTGTCATCCGGGTCATCAGCATCGGAGGCATCGATCGTAACACGTAAGTGCCCCAGCTCCGCACCAACCAACAAGTCAGTACTGACATGCATGCACTCAGCTGCTGTGGCACCCATCTTAGGCAGACGTCTCACATCTCACTTATATTGTTAGGATCTACGCAGACGGTGCATGGAAAGAACTGCCGTCTTTCCTTCACTGCCGGCCGGCGTGCCATTGCCCTCTCAGCATCCTCCGTGGGCGCTATGCGATCCATGGCTAGACTTTGGTCATGCGGCCAAGGGGCCGAAGAGGTTGCCGCTGCAGCATCTCGGGCTAATGATACCCTGGCAGACCTTAAGAAGCGAGAAAAGAAACTCTTAGCGGAGATTGCAACCTACGAGGTTGATCGTATCAAGAGCGAGGTACAGAAGGAAAAAGCAATTTGGGTGTACCGTGCTGACACTGGCCTGGAATTCTTCACTGGAATTATTGCCCAGGTCAAAGAATCAGTCAAGGGGGAAGGGGCCGTGTTACTCATGGCTTCCGGGGAAGAAAAGAAGAGTGGTTCCATTGTAATCTATGGAGAGCCAGCACATGTCCAAGTTCTCACAGGCAAGGTGCAAGAAGCTTTGGAGGGTGTAAAGGGTGGAGGAAAGGGCGAGAAATGGCAAGGAAAGGTGACGGAATGGAAGAAGGGTCAATTGGAGGGACTGAAGGAGGTTGCTCGCTCGTTTTCTGGATCTACGGACATGTCATCATAATTGCTGGCGTTATAGTCTGTTTTGATATGTATCTGCCTGCCTGGCTGTGCTTGCTGAGCTGCCAACTCAGTTTCTTAAGTCTACCATTGATGAAGCTTTTGTACTTCCTTATGGCAAAGTGCTCGTTTTGATACTGAATAAGGGCTTCTACCAATGATCCGGGATTTACTGCGTTTCAGAACCGAGCGGCCTCGATTGTTGGGCTGAATAGAGCTCATCATTGCTGTTCTGGGGCCCAGTAATCCAGCTCCTCCAAGGCAGAGCTGCGAGACATCTGGTGTCGGAAGACGGCAAAGTGTGCTCCTGATCTTGGCACTGATCAGCATTCCCATCGCCTTGGCCTTTAGGCATGAATTCATTGTCCAATTGCCCTGCAGTGGTGGGGGTCGCAGGATGCTTTGAGCAAGTAATATGTTACCCACCTTGCGTCGGTCTGTTGGTGATGAGTGCACGTAGATGGCTCCAGGCCACTAATGCCGGGCCTATCCGACCGGGCGATCAGCAGCTTGGAAGCCCGAACTGCGAGACGTGAGGTACTTTACTCGAGGTGCGACCAGGGGACAGTTCGCATTTGTCCTATAGCCGGGCTTATGGCTGTTGCCGTTCAGGAAGCTGGCCATGGCGTGCCGCATTTGTGCATCTCACAACCCCGCTCACGCCGGCCACTGATAGATGGAAAGAGGCCATCTCCAGCACACGGCATTTTCTTGTTGGTGGCTGGGCTGGATTCATATTTACTGGACTCGGCATAGGATTGGGCACTCAGGTGCTTGAGCAAAAAGCAAACATTCGTAACCACGTTAGAGTAGGTCTGAGGGAGATCGGGGCAAATTGGCTGAGGCAGTATGGCTTCGTGGTTTACCGCACCGGCGAGTGAATCGGATTTCTATCTCAACTGGATGCTCCATGTGAGCGAATTGATCCACCACTGCTGATGGTTGCGTCTACCGGTAGTCGATATTGCGGATGTACTGCCTCATTCGGGATCTGGAGGGGGTTACGTTGCGTTTTGTATTGTTGTCGCTGTCACAGGCGACCAACCAAGGAACCACACCTGGACCAAGGCGTCGGTGCTGGACTGTGGTGAAGGAAATTGCCCGATGTCGAGGGGTTAAACGCCGCAGGGGGAATGGATAATCCTCGCGGCAAGCAAGCAACAGCTAACTCCTGGTATGTGCGTAGGGCTCGGCACTACCGCCTCCAGGAAATCGGATCATCTTGTGGCAAAGTGAGAAGAGAACGGGGGCCGTTCCTGGCGTTGCAGTGTATAGGCGCGGATGGATGTGCTGGAGCTTCCAACAAAGCGTGGACATTGGCCAATAGTGAGGGCGAGATTTGATCTTGCCTGAACCAGCCATGCTCAATCACAAATTCTGTCAAGCGCATTCTTGCGGGGATTTAGAGTCGCCTGCATCCCCATTCACCAGCAAGCATGCGTGAGGCGGCTGGCATTGGTAGGTTGGTAGATCAACCTGCAGCACCCATTCCCCTCATCACCAACGCCAATGCAGGTGGTCTCACAGTTGAGGTAACCCCGAACCCCTCCAGCGAATCTGTATATCCGAATTCGTGCTCGAGTCGCTTTTCACTGTTGGCTCTAGTGCGTGCCTGGCTAAGGCCGGCCGGGAGTAGGGGCTCACCTGCTGGAGAGCCCTGGAGCCACAACCCGCGGCTGGGCGCTGATAGGTGGCTAGCGACGGGGGGTTTGGGGGCTAGGCCGGTGCTACAGCGAGCTACCCACAGGGCTTCAGCGGATAGGCCCGCATCTCCCGCCCGTGGCCAATCAACACGGCCGAATTGCCGCCAGCTCCCACGAAGCGGCCCCAACCACGACCCCAATCTCCCATCGGCTGCATCTCGTCACTCTTCACCTGTCCATGCGCTCCCGCTGATTCGACCAACCAACCGCCACCACCGGATGCCCATCGTCGTTTTCTCGCCATGGATCCTGTCCGTGCCTCCTCAGTGGCCAGCCCAACCTCCTCCCGTCACCTCCCCCGAAGGTCGAACCTTGTTCTGCATGTTGCTACTGCACACCACACCTTGCACCCACCGTAGGCAAGTGGCGGCCGAGCAACCAGCAGGCACGCACTAGACGACCCATGCCGCAGGGCCACGGATGGTGTTGGGACCTCTGATTGATCGTCTTGACTGTCCACTTGACCATTTCGCCAATTTCTCGGTCTCTAGCCTACGGCCAAGATATGCTTGCATTTACTCTAGCCCATCGTGGCCAACCGTGAATCAACTAGGCGAAACGAGATAGTAGGTGGCTACGGCCATTTGCTTTTCGTTTCTGCATGAAGACGTCCTCCCAAGACGCTATCCGTTCACGCGGAATTGGGGAGAAGGAGATAGTTCTATCGTGCGTATGTGCATACATGGAACTTAACGCTGGCTATAATGCCTCTAGTTCTTAATTCTTCGGACCCGATATCACCAATTCACCGCGGCGCGAAATCGTCAGTTTACCGCAAGATACTGATGGGTCGGGCAAGGATTTATCAGTCCACTTGATGGCTTAGGCGCCGCGCTTCTTTTTGACCGTCGATAAACCATGCTCGAGCGGTCCACCTGAATTGAGCTTGAATGGACTGTCTGGATAGTCACGATCCGAATTGAGCTGCATGTCACCTCACCGTCTTCACTGTCACATCCTTGGCTCTCCACCCACTCCTCCTGTTCCGTGCTACTCGGACCCTGGTTCCGGCATCTGCACCTTCGATGACCCCAGCACACATCAGGATCAACCCCGGCCTGGCTCGTCACATCCTCCAGGGCGCCACATACATAGCTGCTGGTAGCTGCTCTACTGATCTTCAGCCCACCCCCTCATCGTAGTTGCTTCTTTATTGCCTGGACCGCCACTTGGGCCGCAGCTCAAGAGACCTCTTCCTCTTCCCCATCAAACGACCTCTTACACGGCCGGCGAGGCTGTGATTATACTCGAATCAAAGGAGATCTGCAAAGTGTCACTGATGGTTCTTGCACTAGGCCCTTGACACTCGACCTCCTTTGCCACCCTCGTTATCATTGCCTAGATCTCCGTACCTCCGTGGTTTCTTATCAATTAGACGTCCCTGGATCAGCATACAACATAAACAACCAGAGACCATTTCTTAGCTTCTACACGCATAGAGACCTGCTTTCAGTATATTACTAGAGCATTGAGTCAAGGCGTAGTTTCGTCTCATCTCATCTCACCAAAGCCGTCCCGAACTCCCCACTTTGGCCGATCTGCACGAGCTTGCCCAGCACCCCGATCCTACGATATCAAAACTGTTTGTTTTGTTCCTACTTTAAGACACGGCCGTTGGCCGCTGGTTAACTCATGTAAACATCAAAAGAGTCTGGTGTTAGAGCCATAGTCATCATCGTCACCTCGTTCTGGTCTACCGAACAGTACAGCCGCGATGGCATCTCACCTGCGCCAATTCGCCTCCGAGGCTACGAAGAAAGTCACCGGGCTGGTCAAGCGAATTGATATCCCCCTAACTGCTCAAAGTCCTGCCGGCCTTGTGCAGGCTCATTATGTTGACCCCTGGGAGAAATCCGGCAAGTATGCTCTGGGATGGACATACTTTGCTGTCGCACTCATGCTATCCGTTTTTGTGGTGCGTCTGTGGCATTTCTGGCAGGATAAGATTCGCCAGGCCATGTACAAGCAACAGCTCGAAGAACACTACAAAAATCTGTACAATGTTGATGCTGCTTATGTTATGGCCGCTATGCGGACTGGACAGGCCCAGCAATTCTTTCCAGAAGGCGAGAACGGCGACGAGAAGGGATTCCGACCCAAGGAGAACATGTCCTCTGTAACTATTGTCAACGATGTCTTGGCGCTGTTTCGATGGGTTTTCTATCGCCCAATTCCAGATTTTACCTGGGGAAAGCGACGCATCACCTTCTCCTCCCTGGCTGTCCTCACTTGCGTCTTGATTGCCACCGTTTTCGTTACACTCTATTGCTTTCTGAAGTCCCCCTTATACTGGCAGAGCATCCAATTCGGCTCTCCACCCTTGGCTATTAGAGCCGGCATGATTGCCGTTGCCATGACGCCCTGGATCATCGCAACTAGCATGAAAGCGAACATTGTTACAATTATGATTGGCATTGGGCCAGAGCGGCTCAATGTATTCCACCGATGGCTTGCATATATCTGCCTGTTCCTTGCGTTGGTACATACAGTCCCCTTCTACGTTCAACCCGTTTGGGATGACGGTGGCATGAAAGTGTTCCAAAGACTGTTCCCTGGTGGCAGTGGAGTTATCTACGGAACAGGTATTGCTTGCCTGGTTCCGCTTATCTGGCTCTGTGTTGCATCCCTCCCCTGGATAAGAAGGATCGCTTATGAAGCTTTCGTTCTTCTTCACATTCCCGTTGCCATGGTATACATTGGCGTTTTGTTTTGGCATACCAAGAACTTCTTGATGTCTTGGGGTTATCTCTATGCTTCTGTCGGAATATGGGTAGTGTGCTACTTTATGCGATATTTCAAGCTCAATTGGCTCAAGCCATGGAGGCTGGCCTTCATGGTAGGCGACGAGGCCGCCATCACCCTAATGTCGGAGAACGCTATCAAGATCACGATTCCCACCCAAATGCGCTGGAAGCCGGGGCAATACGTCTACCTGCGCATGCCTGGCATTTCATTCCTGGATAACCACCCTTTCACCATCGCATCGCTCTGTAGCGACGACTTTCCTTCTGAGTATGGGGAGCAATACAGAGACTGTGTTCTTGTATTCAAGCCTTATGCTGGTTTCACCCGCAAAGTTCTTAACACAGCCATCGAGAAGGGGCCGTTCCACACGTATCGAGCATTTTTGGATGGGCCATATGGCGGTATGCGCCGCGATCTGTCAGCCTTTGACACTTGCATTCTCGTTGCTGGCGGCAGTGGTATCACCGCCTTGATGTCCCAGCTGTTGAATTTGATCAAGAGAATGCGTGATGGCAAGGCCATCACCCGTAAAGTCGTGGTTGTATGGGCGATGAAGAGACTTGAAGCGATGGATTGGTTCCGTGAGGAGCTTCGGATTTGCCGAGACTCTGCACCCCCCGAGAGTGTGACTTGCAAGTTCTTTGTCACAGCAGCAGTCCGAAGGCGGCCTGGGCACGAGACAGATCCCTTGGCTAGGCCTACGGGCGACAGGGCGCTGACTCATGCTTTCCATGACAAGCTGGATGGATTCGTTGCTGGAATTGCTTCCAAGCGCAACTCAGCTATGATCCACTCCGAGGCCCAGGGTGATCCTGAGAGGGAGCAGCAGCTGCGTGCTGAAGACCAGGACCGCATCACTGCTCTCCCCCAGCAAAAGTATCTCCAATCACATATTGCTCCCGCCCCCCCCAAGCCGCAACAAAACCAAGGGAAACTCATCTCTCCTATCGAGGATGATAACCAGCAGAGATTTGACGCTTACGGATACCCCTTGGATAAGAAACCAATAGAGGACCCCATCGAGGAGGTTCAGGATCAGCAGTTCCACTTCCCCCCCATCGTGGAGGAGCACCCCCCTCATTTCAACTATGCGCCGGCCTCCCCCAAATTTCCTCCGGGATCCAATCCGGAACAGCAGAAAGGAAGCCTCCCTGTCCGGGCTCCTGAACTTGCTCACCTGCGGACGACAGATCTGCCACCACAAGAACAGAAGCCGAGACCGACATCAACATTTGGGCCTCCATCCGGCTTTGAGTTTGGATTCCCCGAGACTCCAACCGAGTTTCAGAAGAACCTCATGCGATTCGCGTTCCCCGTGCCTCATGAGATTGATGGTGGCTGGAGCGTCGAATATGGCCGGCCGGATCTTTCCTACATGCTCAAGGAGTGGGCGACGGGTGGCACTGACGGGCGAGGCATCCTGGGCAGGAGAACGGCGGTGTTCGTATGTGGCCCACCGGCAATGAGAGTCGGCGTTGCCAATACGGTGGCGCGGCTCCAGGCTGGCATCTGGGGCGACGATGCGCTGGAAGAGATCTTCCTGCACACAGAGAACTATGCTCTGTAAGCTATCACGAGCGATATGATTGGGCATGATGAAGTAGGAGTTTCTTTGATTGGGATTTCGGAGTTAGGTAATGCTACGGGGATTGTATGAGTGCTCTACAAAAGATACCACACTGTTTATGACACCATGTATATAGTCAACCAACAGACTCTAGCGAAGGGTCTATGGACATATGACATCTCATTAATAACATATGATATCCTTACTATTTCGTATTTTGACCCCACTCTGTGACTGCAATTGGACTTGGCAACATGGGAGAGTTCAAACTTGGCAGGGAGGAGGGAGGACGGGATTGAATGAGTTGAGGGGGAGGGGCAACTTTGTGTGTAAGCAAGCACGCGATCGGCTCAACATACCAGACCCTCATGACCACATTCATGGCCCTTGAAACGCAATTCGCGCGCAACACGACTGTTAGTAATTTTTCCGGGGCAAGGGAGACCCGTGCCTGGGACCATTTTATTTTGTGTAAAAGGCAGCAGGAGAGGGGATTTCTCTTTTAATGGCACGACACTCGTGGATCCGATGAGCAGTGACTAGATGCCTCCGGTGAGGACCCTGATGGATAGGTTGAGCCCGGCTGTCCACATTCACAGTTGACGGGCCTTGAGGACTGCGTCTTGCCATCAAGGTATTAATTGTCGGGACGAGGTGTCCTTCTGCGGACGGAACTTTGCTCTTCTTTCTCCCTCGTTCGTTGCTACTTCACCACTTGCAATCGCTTTGAATAACATCGGCCACCTAAGTTCAATAACCGTGAAATTGAGTTGGCTCTTGCTTCGACTGATTCTCCTTCTTTAATTGAGTTCACAAGCACTCAGCCTGCAAGTAGAAGACCGGGGAATAGCCAATCGCCAGATACACACCAGCATCCCAGACCGCAGACATGGCAGACTGCATCATGGAGGGCGACATCGACAAGATCGCCAAGGGCTGGTCGATCGCCATGCGCTACTCGGAGGAGCGTCTGAAGAGAGTCTACGACCTCGACAACGAGAAGCTGGACGCTGCCATTCACGAGGGCAGGCTGGTCTTGGAGACCGTCTGCCTGTTTGTCCATGCCTGCGTGAAGCATGGCCAGTACAAGTGAGCCAGACCAGTTTCAACATCAGAGGGGCTGGAGTGTGCTTACGTGTGTCTCTATAGATTACCTCTGGAGTTCTGGCGGATACTGCACGCTGAATATGGCATCGTCGTGTATCCTACCGCGTTTACGGAGGATGTTGATGTGCATGGTGTTGGGACCGACTGCACGTTTACGGATGCTTACTGTGGGCACATTAGTATGTTGAATCTTGCTATCTCCTGGGCTCATCCATCGAGCTGAGAGGGTCATATGAGCCCTCTTTGATGCTGCCGCGAAGACTGACGATTTCCCAGCCATGTTTGGGCGGTGCACTTCTGCACACCCGCCGCCGTGCCCCTTTCAGTACCTGCGCGAGCCACCCCCGGTATACGAGAAAGTGTGCAGCTGCCAGGTAGACTCAGTAGAGTCAATAGAGTTGGATGCATAAGGCTCACCGGCAGGCGGTTGATAGATCTGGTGCATGGATTGGGAGAATAAATAGTGAGCTGGGTTGGGTTCATCTTGTTTTCAGCAGCGTGGTCATGAGGTTTAGAGTGTTTTTACGTTGGACGGTTCTTTCTTTTTGTTTCTTTTTCCTTTGTTAGCACGATGGGAGTGAGAGCTACTTGGGTGGTACAAGTAGCAACAAGAATAGGAATGATGAAGAAGAAAATGGTTATGAATTCACTTTACTACCCGCGGCCCCGTCCCGATTCGCCCTCCACACTCCTTCCTCCCCCTCAAACTCCTCCCGCTTCCAGATCTCGACCTTGGTCTTGCACTCCTCGAGCGCCTCCTCGGCCGCCCTCCACGCGGCCTGCCGGTGCGGGGCGGACACGGCGATGAGGATGCTCTCCTCGCCGATGGGCACCGTCCCCAGCCGGTGGACCATGGCGATGCCCTGCAGTCCGTGCCTCTCCCGGACGTCCTGGGTGATGGAGAGCATGGTGCGCAGCGCGCGGGGGTTGTAGGCGGAGTACTGAAGCTCCTTGACGGGTTTCCCGCCAAAGTTGTCTCTTGTGGTGCCTGAGACCACGGAACCAGAGGGCAGCGAATGAGCATGGGGTTTTCCTTGGGGGACCGATGATTTTTTCAGGGGAATGGGAGGAGGAGATTCACACCTGCGAAGAGGACGATGGCCCCGGCGGCTGGGCTGCGGACTCGGTCGGTAACCTGCTGCATGTTGAGGAGGTCGTGGGTGAGGGCTACGTAGCAGCCATCTGCCGACCTCTCGAGCGAGTCTGCAGGATCGCTCTCCATGTGGGAAGCTGTGGAGAGTACTGCGCTGCTAGATTATTACATGTATATAAAGAAAGACTTGATGAATGTGTGGCTGCCCGTCGATTAGACTCGAATGGGTGGGCAGCCAGCCCAATAGAGCTTGACTAATCCGATCTACGCAGTATGTGTGTGGTTCATCTCGCTGCACCGCAAAAACATCTAGGGCATCAATAGTTGGGTAATTCACAGTATTAGCAGGGCGCATAGATTGAAAAACGTAGCCGTCTCTGGCGTTTGGAATTCTTCAGGAATAAGACAAAGGAAAAAAGGGTAAAGACAAAGGAGAAAACAAAGGAAAGGAAAGAACGGCATGGGGCAGGCGCTGCTCAACATGCTCTTGTCTGATGCAGGCCTGAGCTTGCGCTATCGCCCTAGAAAGGAAAGCGGTGACTAAGCAACCGACGGCCCTGCGACGACCGCCAACTGTCGCCAACTGCCTCAGCCTGGCTCGACACGTCCGTCCCTTGCGCGCACGCATTCAATTGCCCTCGACAACCAGAATTCGCCCGTTGGAGCCGTGCCTAGGTGCTGAAGTGCACGCACGGTACGTACCGCCAAAATGCGTAGCGTTTCTCACCACGACCCCCCCAGCCGAGCGAGGCCTGACTTCTCGCAACATCGACCTTCTGAGAAACCCGAACCAACCGATTCCTACCGAGATCGATCTGACAGCCACCACCATTCCCGACAGGGTAAAGACAAGACCAAACACACGCGTGCCTCGTCTGCTGAGGACTGAGACTCCTATTCTCCAGGCGGAACTCTGGTTCCCGTGGATAATTTTTGATCAACGAGGCTAACTTCCCCAACGATCGCCGAGACGAATCCAGGTCTCCTCCCAGGCACACCATGCATCGCAACTCTCGCGGCAGAGGCGGCCATGACCGCCCATACAGGTATGAGGGTGAGGCTCACCATGGTGACCAGGGGTCGTCGCGTAGCATGCCACGAGGCCGGTCAACCCGCAATGATGAGTACAACAACAACATGTACGATGATGGTCAGCCTTCGGGCGAGTATGGCCGTCGAGATCGTCAACCAAGCCGCGGCAGAGGAAGATATGAAGGCGATGGTCGACGCCAAAGAGATTCCGAAGAAAAGAGCTTCACTACTACTCCCCCATGGAGGTCCGCCAGCCGAAGCAGGTCCCATAGCCCGGGCCTCGACCCTGGCCAACCCTCTGATACCGTGATTGTCGAGGATCTCCCTGCCAATATCCTCACCGAGGTGGTAAGCTGATGCAATTTGATGTGTCTTTTTTTCCTATTCCCAACCCGGTGGCTGACATGTCTCTTCATAGCTTCACGATTGCATTCTCAATAACTCTGCCGTTTCCAACTTTAACGACGTCGAAGTGCGAATTAAATCCGGGAGAGGTTTGTGACGAGATTTCATGCCGAGTTCCCGTACTTCCCAACTAACCTTTGCGTTTTAGGAACTCGCTATGCTTTCGTGCAATTTGCTTCTGTGGATGAGGCGACTGCCCTTGTGAAGAAACATTTCCCTTATCTGCCTATGCAGTTACCACGTTCTACTGATGACGCTCCGAACGGTAGATTCGAGGCATACTTCCAATATGCTCGAACTCGGGACGAGCCGGAGGATCAACGCAAGAACGCTGACAACTGGAGTTGCGCATCTGTACGTTTCTGGTGCTCAACACACTAAAGAGGATCTTTCTGACTGACTTCTTTCAGTGTAATATCTCCAATTACTCAACAAGGAGCTTCTGCAGGGGATGTGGTGCGCGTCCCGTCGGTATGTTATCTCCTCTTGGTGAATGATAACTTTCTTTTTCTAACAGCGAGTTGCAGATGAGTCGGAGTGGTTGGCTACGCTCACCGGCGCCACTGATGCTGGCGACCAGTCCTCGCACATTCTGGTGGTCTATCCAATCTTGCCGAGCATAACTGAGACCATGCTGGCTGGCGACATGAAGCGTCTTGAGTTGGAAGCGCCTGCCCCCGTAAAGGACACGAGTAAAGACGCACCTAAGCTTAAGTCGACAGCGCCAACACAGAATGCTGCTGGATATGGTGCCCGACCTGGATCTCTTCACCGGGTCTTTTTGATGAGAACCACCGCATCGAACAAATCGGCCAGATATGGTTTTGTAGAGTTCTGGACAGTCGAGGATGCGAATGCGGCCATGACCAAGTTTCGCATGCTCAAGTCCTTCTCTGTCGCGGCCAACCCTGCCACGGTATCCCACACCCACATGGGGGTCTTCTCTCCGGAAGATCGCAGAGCCAAGCCTGAGATAGAGAGGGAATCGTTCAATCCTCTCATGAACCCAGCAATTCGTGTTCGATACCGGGATCTTCGCCTTTACCCCAGCCAGTTCATCGTTACACCAGAGCCGCCGGAGGATAAGTCTGCTACCCAGACCGCAGAAAACAGTGCCACTGAGGCTAAGAATGCAACCAGTGGTGCAAATGATGCTAATTACGCGAAGAAGCGCAAGCCCGAAGGGATTGTCGTCACACCATCGAAGAAGCCTGCGTTTCTCGGACACGTGGAAATGTGGCAACGCAGGCAAGATGAGCTGTACGGAACCAATGATTCATCGCCTGAAAGTTTCACCACCGCCAGTTCTGTCAACCAGACACCCATCAATGCATCGCCTTTGAAGAAGTCTACCAAGGCGGGTCGAGAACCTCCCATTAGGTTTAAGTTATCTCTCTCGGGTTCTCCTCTGGCTGCGCCTCAATCCTCAGAGGAGCGTAGCAGCCCCGAAAAGCGCGACAACTTATCATCTGCAACTGATGATAAAGCAGCTCTTGAGAAAGACGAAGTTTCCTTCATTGATCGAGATAGGCTCATGTGCTACTTATGTGGGCGTAAATGGACCCAAATCAAGCACGTCGATTTGCACGAAAAGACCGACAACCACAAAGCGGCCATGAATGACCCCGCTATGGTCGAGAAAGCGCATGCGTTAATGGCAAAGGCGCAAAAGGCTGCGAAGAAGAAATCTTCGGAGGCAGCTTCTGCTACTCAGTATCGTGACCGTGCCAAAGAGCGACGAGAGGCGTACAGCCAGTCCGGCATGCCACGCGAGCAGGGTGAAGCTGGCGGCAACGGCCCTCAGGAGCCCATGCCAACCCCGACTAAGCAGAAGGCTCCCAAACCGGCGCAGTCCAAGGGAGCTGGCATGCTGGCCAAGATGGGCTGGACTTCAGGGGCTGGACTGGGTGCCAACGGCGAAGGTCGCACCGAAGTCATTGCGATGAATGCCTATCAAGAGGGCGTAGGCCTTGGCGCCGAGGGGAGCAACCTCGGCGACGCAGCCCAGCTTGCGGAGCGGAAGACGAAGAACGACCCTACGGACTACCGCGCCATGGTTCAAGAAAAGGCGAGAGAGCGTTTCAACAAGATGGGCTAAAGCTGAAAGACCCAAGTGGACTAAAGTGTGGAAGAACCGAAATTAAAGCTCTCTACCACTGCCTGCGTTCTTGGTCTTGCTGCTTTTTGGCTTGCTTGCTCTTCATCAATTTTTTTTTTTCGATTCTTGTTCTTGTATTTCTGGCTTTTATTTTCTTTGCTTTGGCGGTTCTTTTGGCCGTCTTTTGCAATTTCAACGCGATTTCGCATCACAACCACGAGGACCGTGGTACAACGAGGAGCAGGCAGGCGACTAATTTGGGGTTGCGGCGTTGCTTTATTTTGCGGCGAGAGAGAACAAAAGGAGATTTGACTTGTACGATACCCGCACCGGGGTTTGAGAGAGCTGACTGGTCGAAGCAGTCGAAGCATTTCTTTTGTGTGCTTGCGTGACTTCTAGGAGGGCAACATGAGTTTCGGGGTCAGGTGAAGGAAGGGGGTGGGGAGAACTTGTGCTTTTGTCGTTACTCACTGGTCTCTGAGGGCTACGGGTTTTCGAGATCAGGACGACAAAGGTGCGTGCGTTTTTGCTGGCTTCTCGCTGAACGTCGAAGCAGCCGCGGGTGTGGTGTGATATTTTGGTCTCGAGTTCAGGACCGCGAGGAAGTTGTGCTTTTGAAGTTGCCCGATGCTCTCTGAGGACTACGATTTTGAGAGCAGGGGAGAAAAAGAAAGTGTGCTTGTGCTTGCCTCTTGCTGAACAAAGGCAGCCAGCTCGTGTCTGCGTGCCCTCTTGTCGAGGATCACGAGGTTTGAGGTCTGGTGAAGGGGAGAAGATTTCGTGCTTGCGAAGTTGCTCACTGGTCTCTGAAGACTACGGTTTTGACAATAGTGAGGGGAAAAAGGATGCTTTCGCGATGACTTCTCGCTGGAGATCGCGAGACTGAAGGTGAAGCTCATTGATTGCTGGATGCTGAGGATCACGAAATCATCTCAAGGATGAGAAAATGGAGTTTTTCTGACACAGGACACTTGATAGAGTCAATAAACGATTAGTACAAGTTTGCTCACTTTGCCGTGGAATTGAAACGACGCGTGAAGGCGCTTCATTGTTGATGTTTGATATACCTCTTGAGTTCAAATGGTAAGTGGGCGAAGAACAACAAGGCACCGCTTTTTCAGTGAGAAATCTCACCAAAATTCTGGCCATGCGTCCTTCACCCACTTGGATAATGGCGATCTAGATTTGTGGTGTTCCCGGGCCTGAGACGAGACACGGCACGTGGAGAGTTCCTGGGGGGAAGGGTGAAGGAGAAAGGCTGATGAAAACGGAGCAGAGGCAAGGCTATCAGCCTCTAGCTTGTCGCTAGTTGGGGGGAGTTGGAATTTGGTGGAGGGCCTAGCGTGGTCGAGGTACGTACCGCATTTCTCAGCCTGGTCTGAGTTCTGAGTTCAGCGGCTGGAGGCTGAGCAACAGTGCCCGTTGGCAACTGTGAGCTCTACGTGTACGCGTACTACATCTATCTCTACCACCCACTCACACCTCAGAACACGGTCATTGATGGCTGCAGAGATTCGATGAGGAGTCGATTCACGGACCCTTGGCCGTGGCGGGGCAGCTGAACCCGCGGGGGGAGGAATTCAGCCACTTAGCGGGCGAGGCTGACCTCAATAGGCGATCTTCCGCCCAAGATCCTGGAACCCAGCCTGGAACATGGGCCAGTGGTGGGGCTATTCATTCAGTCATTCTACATTCTACACAGCCCAGGTGCAGATGCCTGTCGGCCTGCCTCGATGCGTATGCACGTATCTGCAGGCAACTGCTTTGCGCATCGAGGACGGACAAACGACCGGCCTTGGCACAGCATAACAGCGAGGCAAAAAGCCTCATGCCTGCAGGCAATTACCCGCTGCAGGTGTCGCCTGGCTGCCCTGGCCACCCGACGGCTTGGCCACTGTAGGTACAGGTGTAGTAGCCAGAGCAACTAGCCCTGTAGGTAGCACATGCGCGGGCAGGTGCTAGACTCGTACAGCTTAATGATGGTGTTTGGGGTGTCGATCTGGAGCCATCGGTTGCACATACCTCCTCTTGCTTCTCCTCCTCCTCCCCCCTCCTAGGCCTCCCGCACGTACCTTACGTTATTAGAGTTGACCCGGGCTACACTAGCAGGCAGTGTCCAGCCATCTCCATCTGAGGAGGCTGTGTCGTACCTGCTGTCTGCCGCATCCTGTGCAGCTGGTGGGAAAATAACAAACGACTCCTTGGGATTGCTCACTCTGCCCAAACATCCAACCGGCATTGCTGTGCTGAAACACTCGTTTGACCCAGACTGTATATTATTTTAAACACACACAGCACAGGGAACCGGGAGAGCCAGGACAGGATCAGGAGCATCGCCATGCAGTGGGCATACCTCCTCGGGCTGGTTGCTGCAGCCACCGCCGGCCATGTCTCGATCCCCTTCTCTCGTCAGGATTACTCAACGTCGGCCGCACTAGTCAAGCGTCAGGCCGCAAAGGACATCACGCTCGAGGCTCTCAACAACCTCACCGGCGGCGGCTACTACTCCGAGTTCTCAATTGGAACTCCTCCCCAGAAAGTCAGCTTCCTGCTCGACACCGGCAGCAGCGACACCTGGGTGAACTCGGTTGACGCCGATGTATGCAATAATAAGCAACTTCAGGCTAGAATAGGAACCTGCCTGGCAACATGTAAGCAAACGAAATGGACAGACACGGGCACGCTGCATACACTGTATACTTACTCACCTTCCCCCTAGTCAATCAGAGCAACAGCTCGACATACCAGTTGGTCTCCAGCGATGGCTTTGATATCAAGTATCTGGATAACACCGAGATTTCCGGTGATTACTTCAATGACACGGTTCACCTCGGATCCGTCTCTATCAAGAACCAACAGCTTGGTCTTGCTCTCCAGTCCGTTAGGCCAACAGGAATCATGGGGTTGGGCTTGAGTGCCAATGTCGCCACCCGGGAGAAGTACAAGACGATCGTGGATAATCTTGTCGACCAAGGTTTCATTGACAGGGCTGCGTTCAGCTTGTATCTGGTCTGTGGCTTCCCTCATATCGCGTTGCTGGTCCCATACTGACAAGTTCCGTAGAATGACCTGGAGTCCGACTCCGGCACCGTTCTCTTTGGTGCAATTGATCAGAAAAAATTTATCGGTAACCTGACCGTCCTTCCCCTAACGTCCCAGACAACTGGCGCCCAGGTCACATCCTTCAATGTCAGACTATTGGGCTTTGACCTGCTGAACCCTGATGGGACGAACATTTTGGATCTGTCCAACCTCAACGCCAACACCATCCTGGATTCGGGTTCCACCATCTCCCTGCTCCCTGATAAACAAGTCCAACAGATATGGAAAGAGTTTGGCGTGATCTCTATAAAGGGTATACTGTCTCCTTTCGTCGATTGTGCTTACCGTGGCAGCCGTGGTGATGGCTACATCTTCGAGTTCCGTTTCAATGGAAAGACGATCCAAGTTCCCATGCATGAGATGGTCATAGACGCCTACGCCGATGTGCAGGAAGTCTTCCAGGACCCTTCGGTGGCAAGATACTTCAGAGACTGGGATAGAGTCTGTATATTTGGTATCTCTTCCACCCTCGGCTTCAATGTGCCCTCAACCTTCACTCTTCTGGGCGCCTCCTTTCTTCGTTCAGCGTATGTCGTGTACGATCTGACCAACGAGCAATTGGCCATCGGTCAGGCAAACCTGAACAGCACCGACTCGGACATTGTCGAAATCAAGTCGGGAATCGCTATCCCATCTGTCACTGGAGTGGCGAGCCAGACGTCGAATGCCTTGCCTACCAGGACGTCAAGTGCCACTCAGACAACTTCGACGTCGCAGTCTACAGAAAGCAGTGCCCCAGACAATAACAACGCCTCTTCGCGCACCTTGTCATCACCGCCACTGGCGGCCATTATGGCGCTTTTATGCCTCGGAGTTGCTCCATTTGCGCTGTAGGCCCGCCGACTTGTTTATGACCTAGACATCAAGTAGATAACTATTAATGAGTATGAATAAAATGCATATTGAATTATGATGATATCGTCGGCATTGATGTTGCCAGTATTCCACAGGTCTAGTGCTAATCTTATCTTGGAAATCATTTTATATTACAGGAAACGCCCAACTCCGTCTGGGCATTTTACATTTCAGTGGTGGAAGTCTGGACCTGATTCACCCTCTCATAGTTTCGATCCTTGTTCATTGCCGTCCTGGTTAAGTCGTACAACTCCCTTGAATATCGCGTTAGCAAACAGAACCAAAAAGAAGAAGGGAACAAATTGGAAAAAGGGGGGATTCGTCTCACCTCCTGCACACAGCTCGCCAGCAGCGTCCCGTCCTTGGCGAAGACCCTCTGGATGACGAGCCCCCTTTCCTCGCCGGCCCAGGGGCTGTCGTACTCGCAGAACATCCACTCGTCGGCGCGGACCCTCCTGGGCTCGTGGAAGTAGATGGAGTGGTCGAGGCTGACCATCATGCCCAGCCTCGGGCGGGCCTCCCACTCCTCGAGGGTGCTGCCGAGACCGGTGCGCTCGAGCTCGCGGACGACTTCACTCCTCTGGGGCTCGGGTAAGGCGTCGACCTCGCGCGGGGTGAGGCGGTGGCCCCAGGCGTCGTTGGCGCGGATGATGGTGCCGAGCATGAAGCTGTCGGACATGTAGGCTAAGGCGTCGAGGTGGGCGCGGCGGCCGCCCTCGGGGGATAGCGTGCCGCGGGCGCGGATCCAGGTTCTGGAGCGGCGGTGGGCGGGCTCGCTCTTCTCCCCCGGGTTGAGGGGAGTGGTGATCATGGCGGTGCTCTGGAGGGGGCGGCGGGAGTCCGCGCCCGGCTGGGGGGGATCGTGGTGGTCGTCTGCGGGGACGGTGTCGAGGACGCCCGGGGGCAGGGGCGCGGCGTGGCTGATGGTGCGGCGGGAGGAGCTCGAATCGTTGTCGTCTGGGACGCGGGCGAAGCTGATGGTGGTGGTGAAGATGCAGCGCCCTCGCTGGCGGGCCTGGACGGTGCGGGTGGCGAAGGAGCGG